CAACCTTTCTCCCTTAAGGGGCTGTTCCTGAACAATACCATAGTTAAAAAACAATCCAAAGAAGATAATAAAAATTAATGTTTGGAAATAATAGAAGAGAGTTTGCTATTTTGCTGCTTAAACAGCCAAAATGCAAAAGTGAACTGACATCACTTTCACTTCTTGAGAAATGAATTGTCTCTGTCACATTTCTTTCCTCCTTCTCTGTCAATTTGTCGGTGCTTCCTGAGAGGATTGTTAACAGTTTTCAGGGCGGTGTTGCCTGTTGCTTCTACCCCTTGAAAGGCCTCACTTCAAAGCTTAGGCATTTTTTTTTTTAATTTGGTGACTAAACCGTACTGGGATATATTATTCTCCAAAGGTCATGGACTAAATTTCAACATGTTAATGTTTTAAAATACAACATTTGTGTGGAGAGGTAGTGGGAAATGTACCAATAAAAACTTCTACAATTATTTTTAGTATTACCCATATTAACGCAATTCTTTTTTTAATACACAAAAATGTTCCAGCTCTTGAAAGTTCAATATGCATCTTGCAATAGGGAGCTTTATAAGCAACGACGACAGCAAGGGTAGTGAGAATGGCAAAAAAAAGCAATATTCAAGTTTGATGTATAGCAAAACAACAACTTTTCCTCGCCAAAAGAAAAAACAATTCACAAACAAACAGAAAGAATGTTGGTAGGGACACCGCAACAGCTGTGGCCAATTGCAGTGTACATTTCTTTGCTATTTGCTGCACAAGTACCACGTGAAATGTCCGGATCATTAATTTTAACTTTCTGGGAAACTGCCCACCTACCCCTTCCCTAAGCCAACGTTTTGCCTTAAGTGAGAAGTAATTATTAATGTTGGCTTAGGGGAGGGGTAGGTGGGCAGTTTCCCAGAAAGGTAAAATGACCGAAACGTCCTTGCTAGTTTCACTCAGTTTTACTCACTCAAAGTTTGTCTTTCACAGGGTGGTTCGGAATAAGAAAGGACTTTTGTGATTTTCTCCTTGGAACATGTCCCTTTCTACAAGAGTATGGCAACATTTCATGTAAATTTTCAGAAAGTATCTTCTTAAGGCCACCTCCTGAGGAAACAGCAGTTGAACCACAGCGCAAGCCTGTAATGCATGAGTACCCAGCCAAATGTGTTGTGCCAGTGGTGTCTATTGAAATGCCTGACTAGTGGAAGAAAATACCATCGTTATACATTGTGAAAGAATACATGTACCCATGGTTTGCATACATAACATTGGCAACGAAAAACTGACACAAATTTTACACAAAACAATGGAGACGTGACTGTATGAACTATGTGCAGCTTTCTGTCATACTTCTAAAGAACAGAGTTTGGCAATCCATCATCCATTCAAAGTTTTACATAATGGAAGAGGCCCTCAAAGATTAAGCAAGTCAGAAAGAAACTTTGCAAATGAGAAAAGTGATTTGATTCACACTTCCTCTTGTGATTGGAGAAGGAGTGAAGTACTATATGTACTCCAATGCATAGGAGGAGTTCATTTTCTCAAAAAACTTCATCTTTTCAACTTAAAGTTCACTGCTTTTTAACCATGGGTAGATTAAATAAACTTTTACAAGTGTAAGTTACAAGTGTAGCTGTTGTTTTCAGATTCTAAAACAATGGCCAATGCTCTTGTAAATTACAGTGTACACTTGTAAAAGTTTCATTAAATTGACCCCAGTATGATAAAACCATGAAGGATGTGATTAACTCTGACCCAAGAACTCAGGACACCCACTAATGTAAGAACTGATGGGCCAGAAAATGAAATTGGTTTTTCTACAGAGTTTTCTCTCAAAAAACCTATCACTGCTGTTCCAACTAATGGACAGTGCCATCAGTGAAGGTGTTCTGCATTATATTATTCATCTTTCCAAAGAAGCAATGACCTGCTAGACACTTGTGATTTATATTTTGCACAAATTAAAGGAACAGTCAATTCACTTGAGCATTAGTAATTTGTAAATCTGTGATTGAAGCAAACCAAGTGGGTAGGACTAATTATTTCAGGCTTGCTTCACTCGGTTGCCAACTCGTTCTTTTAGCTCTGTTACAAACACGGTGTTTCTTATAAAAGTGGGGTATAATATACAAGTTTTGTCTTGAAAGGATAGTGACATATTTATTGGGAAAAAAGCATACAATGCTTGTTTTATTTACCATGTCACTTCTGTTCCGATTACTGTTCCTGGTAAAATACCAAAACCATGTACACTTGATATATTTCAGTAATATTTACTTTTACCTTAACTACCTACCATGATGTGATATCCCTATATCTTATTGACTGGCTTTTTTCTGATAACAAAATTTCAGTAACTTTCAGTTACTAAGAGTGTTCTAAGATTTTGTGGCCAGAAAACAGTAATAACAGTAATTATACTTGTCAATCAAGAGTGGTAGAGACAGGGTTTAAAAAACACCTTGAATTCAGGATTGTCCTTCAAACAAGCCATTCTCATAAATTAATGTTGCTTAGCACAGTTCATCGAAATACATTTAAGGCCCCATTTATTTGGAGAAAAGTATGTTTCCCTTGGAATGAGGATCACCCTCCCAGCTGAGGACAACTTTAGTGAGCATTTATAAGAGAAAAGAGTTAATCCCTAATTGCCCAAGCAAAGAGCTGACAGCAGTGCTCATGCATACAACATTACTCTACTTCTCTCATCTTTCAAGCGAGTGAACCGGGCTGGATTGGCCAAAAAATTTATATGGAGAAAAGTTGGCCCAGTTCTAGGTTGGTGACCTACCACTGATAAAGCTGAGCCCCTTTTTGTTTCTAGTGTAAACAGTTTGTCAAGTATTGTTAGAAATGCATCAAATTGAAAAGTTGGCTTCCCCAGAGTAGCTTGGGTAGGCAAGTGACAAAATTTCTCCATATAATTGGGGCCTTAGTTAGAAGACCATTGATTTTTGTGATTTTTGTCTGGCCCTTGACTATTGAGCCAGTGAACATGAGAAGTTACTTGTTGAAGAGGGAAATCTAGTTACCACAGATGACTGGACATAACTTTTTTAGCCCCTGGAGGGTCTAAAATGTGAAGTCATTACAAACATACAAATTAAACATATGCAGTAAAGATTTTGAAAATACAGTAGAACCGCGGTAACTCGAACTCTAAAGGAAAACAAAAAAACAGTTTGAGCTAGTGGCGAATTCTAGTTATTGGGGTAAATTTCAGTGAAAAGTTTGATCAAGGGAAGTAATAGAAATTTTGTTCAAGTTAGTGGGGAATTCGAGTTCTCCGAGATCGAGTTATCAAGGTTCTACTGTACCCTGTACTTACAAACAAATATTGTAAACGAAAAAGCCTACATTTTGTTTAACACTAATGTCATTATTATATCCTCTAAAATTTAATATAAATGTAAATATATAAGAATGCATGCTTACAGTTTAGATCATGATTGTAAATATTATTTCATTTCAATGTTTCATTTGCTCTTATAAGATTCTTAAATTATCAAAAAGAGTATTATTTTTTTTGTAATACTTTCTTAACAAAGTTATCTAATAAACAAACTTTGAGGATGTTTGAGAAAGTTTCAGCCATTTTACTTGCCGTCTTTTTAAGGGGACTTTAAACTGTATATTTTTTGTAAAATTTAATGTAGTCGAAAAACCAATTATTGTGTGTCCATTTAAATGGTACCTTTTTGGCAAGAGAATTCCAAGAGAATTCAAGTGATCTCCAAACAGAATTAGTTGAGAAAATTTGATACAATCAAAGCCTTTTTCTTTTGGTGATCATCATTTTTATCAATTCTCATAAGATTCTCTCTCTTGCTTGTATATATGGATATTGTTAGAAGAAATTGATGTTGGTATAAACTCTTGGGACTAAAAGGATTAACAGACTCCCTCATAAGCAGACGTTTCAACTGCTGCCTTGACAAGACCCTCTTTAAACCAGCTTCTTACCCAGAGGATAAGAAAAGTTTGACTGTACACCATTTATAAGCACAAGTGATAGAACTAACTGTAAGGAACTACTTCACCACATGTTAAGTTCGCCTACATAGTACTCATACTAGAATGTTTATTATACCACAATAATTATTAAGTTTCCTAAGTACTTAGGTGTCTATTTTTTTCCTGTTTATTTTAGTCTACAGTTCAGTTTTCCTTAGAACAACACCATCGGGACCAAATGGCAATTTAACCAAGACATGTTGTGCAATTTACAAGTGTAGCTATTATTTTCAAACTCTAAAACAGTAGTTACACTATTAAATTGACCCCAGTACTACTGTTCAATCTCCATTGAAGAGTGTTTTCCACTTGGTGACAGTAAAAAAAAAACTGAGGACAGGAAGAGGCACCGTGGGTGAGTGGTTAGAGCACTGAACTTGCAATTCAGAGGCGTTGAGTTCAAGTCCTTTTCTGGCCACTAACCGGATTTGTTCACGGTAGTCCCGAGTTCAAATCCTCGGCCACGCTTGTAAATAGCCAGCTGGTTTGCCTCCGGCCAGTTGGGATTCTTAACCCTGTTAAGTTTGATTTGAATTATTTTGTTTCAGACATTTGCTCAGCCCCATTAGCATTAGTGCTATAAAACTGCAGAGGGTAAATAACAGAATTATTTGAATAATATAGGACAGGGGCCAACTCTGACCTTTCAGAGAGAGTTTACTCTAAATGGTACTTATAACTATAACTCTTAATTGCAACCACAACCAAAACCAGTGTTGCTTTCAAAGATGTTATAACTGTTAAAGTCAGCAGGACAAACAAATTACTGGTCTGGGATTTAAGTAATGATATCTACCGCTATAGCATAGATTTATTTATAATAGCAAAACCTAAAGTTACTAGATAGTAATCGTTTTATTGTGGCACTTTCCTACTTTATGTGCTCTGGATTGGTTCTCCCCAGGGCACTGATACAGAATGCCAACATGGAGACAATATGGCAACTCATCATTTGCCTAAGGGGGGCATCAATTAACATGTTGCAGAGTTGTGACGGTTGTTCCACAACATCTTTACTTCAGTGCTCTGGATTGATACTCCTCATGGCAACTGACACAGAATGCCAACATGGTGACAATACGGCAACTCAGTGTTTGGCTAAGCTTGGTATCTAATATGCAGAGTTGTGACACCATTGGTCCATAACTGCCCTTCTTGATGTGCTCTGGATTGATGCTTCCCAGGGCACTGATATGGAATGCCAACATGGTGACAATACGGCAACTCAGTGTTTGGCTAAGCTTGATATCTAATATGCAGAGTTGTGACACCATTGGTCCATAACTGCCCTTCTTGATGTGCTCTGGATTGATGCTTCCCAGGGCACTGATATGGAATGCCAACATGGTGACATTATGGCAAATCAATGTTTGGGTATTTAACAGTTGCAGAGTTGTGACTTCGATGTTCCACAACATCCCTCCTTGATGTGCTCTGAATTGATACCCCTCGTAGGCACTGCTACAGAATGCCAACATGAAGACATAATGGCAACTCAACTTTTGCCTTAAGCTTGGTAATTAAAAGTTGCAGAGTTACAACTCAGTTGTTCCATAACTTTCGTACTTGATTTTACAAGGATTGATGCTCCCTACGGTCAAGGGGACTTAACGCCAATGTGGTGACAATGTTTGCCGAAGCTTGATTTTAACCTGTTGCAGAGTTGTAATAAATTCTGTTGTTCCACATTAGATCCCTGCTAGTTGTGCTCTGGATTGATGCTTCCTATGATCACTGACACAGAATACCACCATGGTGACAATATGGCCACTCAATGTTTGTTTAAGCCTTTTCCATCACTGGTGGTGGTGCTACAACTTCTTCTGCAACCATGAAATCGTCCTAGATGAAAAATATATTAAGCAGTTATTTAAAATAAGTTGAAAGAGACTTTAAATTGCTGCAATAGGTGTCTGCAATGTGATTATTATTAACTAGAACTAGATTAACCATGGTTAATCAACTCCTATAAGTCTCCTGGTCAAGGAATTTCAATGGAATAATAGCTTAAAATTGTCTCCATTGGTTGCAAACATCTAATCATATAATACATGTGCAGTAAGTGAGAAAAAATATAATAATCCCCATGCGAATACCAGTACTCTTGAACAGGATTGCTGATGACACTAGCAATGAAGTTTTCAAAAACCAGGACAAAAGTCATCACCTTCAACTCTAATGAACACTTTGCAGCTTCTGCACTGACATATTGACTTACACTTGTCCAATAGGCAGAGCCCACATATCAACCCATGTGTCAGCCGTGTATCAGCTAATGTGTTGGTTAATACACATACAACATATTGGCCAATACATGGGTTTTTGTTGGTCAGTATGCTGGTCAACACTTGGTCAATACTGCTACCATGTATTGATATTTTCATTTGCATAGAATGCCACCCCTGGGGCAAGCGGAGTGTTTGAACATATTACTTGCATGGACACAAGTTCATTAAGAATATTGCTAGGCAGGATAGGCAGACATTTGCCACAGGTCAAAGTGCCTTCAAAACTGCTGCCTTGGCAACAGAAATGATAAAAAATTGAGTAGACAGCAAATATAACTCCAGAAGAAGAATATGCTACATATCAATATATAGTATCGGCCGAATGTTGATGGCGTATTGAGCGATATGTCGACTGATTATTAGTCAAATACCGACAAACACTATCAGTCAGCTTATACTTCGATATGCGAGTGACGTGCAGACAATCTGTTGGTTGACATATTACCCAACACGCAGCTGACTCGTGTTCACGTACATTGACCAATAGTTGCCTTTTGTCTTTCCATAAATTGTGCGTGCATATAATAATAATAATAATAATAATAATAATAATAAAGGTCTTTATTGTTTTTTAAGCAAAAAGACATGCTAAAAACCAAGAACACTCACATTAAAAACAGCAGAAAGAACTACAAGGCTTAAAAAATTCCACATAGAAGCATTGAATAACATTCAAGCTCCATATTACATTAAAGAGCTACCCTATATTTGAAAAATAGCCTATAAGCTATTAAAAAAACTACTTTTAAAATGCTGGGTATTAACCCTGGGGAGTTGACTGCCGGGAATTCCGAGGCATACTGAACTCTCTTTCATTTTGGGGACCGAAGGGTACAAAGGATGGCCAGGCATACTGGAAATCTTCTTGAAAAGTGAGCGATCTACCTCTCCTAACACATCGTTTATGTCAATTTGGTACAAAATATATTTGCGTATATGGCAGCGCTGAAGAAAACTCTGGACCTTATTGATCTAAAAACGTACTCTACATCTGGTTGTTGGTATCCCTCTTTACGTAAACATCTTATCACATAAAGACCCCTATTGGACTCCTGCAGTTTAACCTTAATATGCTCATTAAATCTGTGATTACTTTGTAAGGTAACCCCTAAAACTTTTAAACAAGAAACTTGCGTTATATTGTTCACAGGGTCTCTATCATGAGCAACCTAGCTTCTTGCAAAGTATCAGTTCATGTAAAGTTAACTAACATGTACACGTGTATTGCACCCAAACTTACAAAATACCCGGGACAAAATGTTTCCTGGTATAAGTTCAAACCATAACAAGTATAAACAAACAACTAACCATATCATAGATGACTCGCACAATTAATGAACAACTCGGGCACCGAGCTACATCCTCCCCGTTTTCCAACTCCTCCTAAAACAAAAACGGCAGTAATTTTAATGTGGTTTAAAAGATTACGTTAGTTACCCATACAGGAGAAAGGCTTTATTTAATATCAGTTTAATCGTCTTTGTACTAAAAGCGTAAGCAAGGTTTACAAAAGGTAGCCCAATATGGCTCAATCACAGACAGTGGAGCTAATTCTGTAGTCTGCAGTCTTAAAGCTTTTAAGACCTTTAATTTATTAAGAAAAAGTAATTAGCCTTAAACTCAAGCTTATGGAAGACACTTTACCTTTGTGATCTGAAACTGATCGCCACAAGGGCAAGGATAAAAATATGTCTCAGACTCCTCGTCGTATTCAAAGTCCTCTATTTCTACTTCATCGTGGAATACGGCCATGGCTTCTCTCTGAAATTTTCAGTAAATGTGAAAGGCGAACAGTGCTGAGCAGCCTGCCCTTATTCTCGGAATGATAAATGAAGGGATTGGGTACCAATGAATCTTTGCGATCTTCCTTGATCGCAGTGAAAAACATCACCCACGAAACAAGAAAGTTATTAAAATGATCCGCTCGGAACCCGCTAGGTTTAAACTTAATGAATTAAAAAAAGAAAAAAGAACACCTCTGCTTTTTGTTGTAGATCGAGGTAGATTCTTTTGCAAATTAAAATGGTTTGACTTATCATGTAGCATTTCTTTCAGGTTAAACTATTTGCTCCACGCTTAAAATTGCACTCGCTGACCTCCTCTTCTTGCGTCTAGTTTTAAAGTACCAGAAGTTGTTACATTTTCAGGAGCCATTTCATCCATTGGGCTGGTGGCCAGTATTTTCGGATTTCTTCTAGTTTCTCGCTTTTGATCTTGGCTAAAAGAAGCAAATCAATATTTTTTTACTCCGCTAGTTTCCCTTGTAGACCATTTCAATTTTAAGAGGATCACCTAGTGATCCCCTAAAAAAAAGTCCGTGCATCGTTCATTAAAGCTCAAAAGGAGCCATGGTTGACTTCTGTCAATCAGTAGGATTTTCAATAGCTTCCTAAAAGCTTAAAAACACTATTTTTTGTTTTAAAGACTTTAAAAGTACCATTTTCGCGCATTTGAGAACATCGCTTCCATCTGCAAAAAAGGTACCTTTTTGCGCCTTTTATGAGATCGCTTGAAACCGAAGAAAAGGTACCTCTTTTGAGCTTTAAAACATCGTTTGGAAAAGTGAGAAATGGATGAAGAGCGGACAATATTGACGTCAAAATATCATTCACTCGAAAGCTGAATATACCTGAATTTTTTTTTTTTTAAAAAAAGGTACCTTTTCTTAACTTTTGACCTAAATAAAAAAAAGGTAACAATTTTGCATTTTGTTCTACGGAAAATGAATGCAGAAACTTAGTTTTCCTGCTGATTTTAACTAGCAGAGTTGGCCTCAATGTACGTAAAAAAGTAGAATTGCCGGAATCTTTCGCTGATTCTATCCGTCTACTTCAGGGCCTTCAGACGCACAGAATGTCTGAAGATTGTTTCCGGGGCAAACGTCGATCCTATCATCACGTGCGACGGAACTAAAATAATGGGGGATAAAAAAAATGTATTATTAACAACAACATCAAAATTATTATATTGAACAGATATATAATTACACCAATATGGCGGATAAGAATCCCTTATGGGCTTTTACAAGGTTCTTTTATTAATTATTTACTATTTGCAGGCGTATTTACCATATGCAGCGTAATCTAACTATAAATGCAACTACAAATTAATTTCAATTTTACTTGCACACTGCTAAGCATTGTCTTAACACCGTTGTGTCAAAAGATACTTTTTTAATTTCTTTTTCTTTATTGTGATTTCATGTTCTTTAATTCCTCTGGTATAAAGTTCCTAAACTTCGTCCCTTTACGCTGTATCGACTAGCCATGAAGTTTGTTCTGTACAAGTTCTGTATATTATATGTAGTCTCGTTCGGGAGAAAAATTATTAACATTCCTTTATGGTCTGATTCATGCGATTGGTTCGACGTCTGACCAAACAAAAAGTTCGACGTTTGGCCTAGGCCTAAACTCAACTAACAGCATCCAAAGAATTTACTGATAACTGAGAAAAGAAGAGAAATTTTACTTAACTGCAGGAGCCCATCCACATCAAGGAAGGAAGAGGGGGAGCGTTCACTCTCTCTCTCTTTTTTTTTAAAGTTAAATTATTTGTCGTTACTAAAGGCTGTCTTTCAGAGACTTTTGGACAAAGACACTATCAGAGTTCTCTTGACACCAACTGAAAAAACCTAAATAGCTGGGACGTTTCCCGGACTTCCCTTTCTATATTTTCTAGTTCCCGCGTCCCTACTGACTGATGATTGTGAGAAGACTCTTAAAGGATGAATGCACTGATGACCAAAAGGGAAGTCAAGATGGCTGGATATTGGTTAATTACTTTTTTTGCGTTTTAGGGACCGGATAGAGCTTTGTGAGTACCCAGCATGCACTATGTGGAGCCTGGAGCGCAATCATGATCACGTCTGAGAGTTAACCAAGTTATGATGTATAACTCGGCAGTTCATTTATCCCCCATAGCGTTTAATTCGTAAAAATTGAAATTGTTTTACAAAGAAACTGAAGTTGCTATTTTTATTAAGTGCCGCCGCTCTGTAAAGAAACTAAACTGAAGTGTTACAGGCTCCTTGCCTCTTGTATACCAGGGACTTCCCTTAAAAAGCTGTTGAAAATCGGAAATAGTGGGCTTTGGATTTACAAACGTCTTCCTCAATATTTGCTATAAGAACAGGCAAGAACTGATCGACTGCAAATCACGTCGAATTGATCGTGGGATAAACAACTATGGCACAGAGATGGAGAAAGTTAGCAACTGCTGGCGAGATTGAACCACACCAGCTAAGGGAAATCGAGCCAGAGCTTTTCATAAAGTTCTTGCGAATTCCTTCCCTGAAAACCTACTTAAGTTTGACTAAAAGGCTGAAAAGTTGTCCAGCAAAAACCGACTGGCTTAAAAACGAAGATCCGCCCGAAAGGTGCGATAAGCTCCAAGAGCTCTTAGAGTCAGTCTCTTCATAACGTTTCAAAAGACTACGTAAAGAAGTTGAACTTACACAAGCTACGTAATACCGCGTAATGAATAATGCAGCTGGATTGGAGTTTATTATAAACAACCCTTACTTAACAACTCAGCTCGTTTCAGGTAAGTGAATGATCATGACCTGTAGATCTAATATTTACTTATAAATGATTATTAACATTTTTAATTTCAAAGCATCCAATTAAAATTCTCTCTTGTTAAAACTGAGACCTTAAATGCTAATTTTCACTACTATGTGTAAATAGCACTTTATCAGGCATAGTAGATTTCTAATTATGATAGCTTTCGATCAGTTAAAGGGGGTGTAACCAAAGTTTACTTAGTTGTCCAAAAACCAGAGGGAAGTGCTGATAACGATGCCTGAGTTTATTACCGAATTAAAAGCTGGATCAAAGACTCATGTAAAATATGAAACAAGTTATGTTTCTTTAACCACTTTTATCAGCATTTCTAATAGGTAATCAGTTACATTTTAATCGATCCTGTTGTAACGTAACATGCGCACGCGTTCCTTTTAAAATTGACACAGCACTGTGATGGAATTGTTTCCTCTCATGAGAACTGACCACGACTCTTACATGCAAAGTTTATTGCCAAAGTATCACTTAACAGGAAAAATGCCTTCAAAATAGACCATCTGGTCTGATCATCTTATCATCTGATCTTTGGCAAACAAGTGCCGAAAAAAGCGTCTCTCCCCGCAGGCTAAGGAAAGTTATGCTCAGGTTCTAGTTTGTAAACAGAATCGCGTGCACGGCCTGTCGAGGACCTGCTGTCACAAATCAAAAAGGAGATTAATATCGATCAGATCAGATATTACGGACTGGTGAACCATGTACCGTAAATAGAGCCTTGCTGCTGACACGTCCTAACCGGTTCTTAACGTAGTGAGGATCTGAAATCCGTAGGATTTCTAACAGTTTTCTGCAAGAGGAGTTGAAAACTAGACACTGAAAAGTCTGCGAAGTGAATTACGTGAACGCTTGCGCTGTTCGAGCGGAAATAACAATTTGTTGTTTTTCCTTCTAAAATTGGCACATAAGAGCTCTTGAATCAAGATAGCAGTCGATCATTTACATTTACATATTTTTCAGACTGGGTAGCTTTTTCAGTTCTATATCGCTAGGCCTTTCGGGAGTGTTCGGCGGTGTGTTTCGGGTGTGTTCCGGTATTCCTGGTTTTAGAACATCCGCCGGTGATGGCGGATTATTACTGTCGAGAGAATAATCTCATACTTATGTTAATGATAGAAACCCATTTTTAGACTGCAATGATAAGCACAGAAACGATGTTTCGCCGTTTTTGTCGAAACACATTCACAATCTTCTTTGTTCATGATCAACAGATTAGTAAATGAAACGAACAAGAATCTAGCTCCGGTAATCAACCCCGGGTAATCAACCAGGCACGTTCAGTGCGCGCTTCTCTGGGCAGTAATAGCAATATTTTTTTTTCAAGAAAACTGTCTGTTAAAGGAGCTTACTACCGATCGATCACGAGTAGGATCTTTACGCCACTGAGAGAGCTATCGAAAGGCCTCTGAACTCGTAAGCGAGAACGTACCTGACTAACCTACATGCACGGTGCTCGTGCACGTACAACACTCATAAGATCTCATAAAGTTAAACTGAATCGACAACTCATGAAACTGAATTCTTCCCAGACGACTTTTAGTTACTACGACTTCAAGTCATTTGATTTGGACGGTCTTGTCGTTACAAGCAAACTCTAAATATAGTGCCGGGGCTAAGTTAAAAAAGTCTTATGACTGAGGACCACACACTAGTCTCAGTTTCACGTGAAAGGCCATGTATGCCGGATGTACCGAGAAATGTATATAAGCGGTCCTAGTGGATGTCTAAACTCACAGTGAATGACTCGGTTTCAGTGCAGGGAGTTAAACTTAATTCTTTGCTTTCCTTGTATCGTTTGTGCCGAATCGACTTAGCGTTTTGTACTATTTGCGTTTTTCATTTTTTTTTCGATTCAACCAATCAGAACACAGAAGTAATTATTTGCTTCAGTAAAACTCTTTGTCCACTTGAAGTCAACACTAGAAGAACTGATCGATGCCTCACTGGCAAACTGCTTTTAAGTATAAATAGTTCGTGTCGACATTCAGATGACTTGATGGCTGAAATCGCTCTATGAATAAACATTTTTATCAACAACACTCAGTGGATAAAGCGAAAAATGTCAGAGCTACACGGAAACCGGCAGCGGAAACAAAACTTGACTGAGCACGCTTTAGAATATTCCAGCTGAATTTCAGATCCTGGTAGGCCAGATTAAGAACACTTGCCCACAATTTTGCTACACGGAAAACATCAAAAATGGCGACGTGGCGAAGAGTATCGCTGAAAGTTGGTCTAGAAATCAATGACCAAAAAGATGGCAACTTGGCTGACCTTCAAAATTTAAAGGATATCGAGCCTGAACTATTTATCAAGTTTGTTCGAATTCCGTCGCTTAAAAACTACTCGAGTTTAATTGCAAAACTTGCAAACTGCTCGAACGAATGGCTGACGGAGTTTTTGACGCTTGGTGGGTTAGCTTCGTTGTTCGATGTCCTAGCGCAACTTGGCGAGCGTGGTTTAGCAAAGTTCTCCGATGCTTTTCTGCAACTTGAATGTGTCCGATGTATTAAGGCTGTCATGAATAATGTTACAGGATTGGAATTTATGGTTAACGATTCTTCACTAACTAGACAGCTTGCCACGGGTAAGTAAAGTTGTTTTCTTTCTTTCTGTTAATATTTGGTGTTGTTCTTGAAGAATGAAGTCAATTAACGGAGATGAGATTAGAGGGCGCAAACGGAATGAAACAATATTAGTGGAATGATTTGTTTTCTTTGTTTTTTGTTTCGAAAGGCAGATAATCGAATTTTCTTCAAAGCGAAACCTTCGTAGATTCCCCTTAGTTTGAAATTTATAAACAATTAAGTATCCTTGAATTTTAAGTCAATCGATTTGAATAAATACAAACTTGTCAGCCACCACTTGAGAAGCGGGTGGCCTTCTTTAAAAGAGTGACCTGTCACTCAAATCAGTGAAACAGTGACTTGAAAGGCGGAAAAATAATATATCCAACATGAATTTGTCGAAGAGAGAATAACGTTCGAAATTAATTGTTGCGCGCGCGCAAGTACACTTCTTCGAGAAACAATGTGTGACATTTTCGACATAAATGGATTCTTAATAAAGTGGTGCTTTCAAAATAGTTATTAAGAGATTGAGTCCCTTTCAACTATTCACTGAAATATCTGTAGATTTAACCCGCCAATTTTTTTTTTCTTTTGTTACCGCAGTTAACCATTTGATAGTTTTTGCGATAGTCAAACATTTTTGATAAATTAGTCCAATTAATATCAAGCCGAGAGGCAAAAAACGCAGTCGTGTAAACAAAAGATTATTAACATGCGGGTGTGGTTAGTGAACTGTATCATAAACATGCAAATACTCTTCAGCAGACCACAAGAAAAGCACAATACAACCTGATCAAACGTAACACTTAGGAAGTCGTAACATTGTTCCCGTGGTTCGCGAGAAACTTGCATCCCTTTCAACCGCAGCATCTCCGTCCATGACGTGGATCTCAAGTGGCCATGCCATGCCAGTGTCTTTGAGAATTTTACGCCCGCATTAGGCATTGACAAGCAGCCAGAAACTAAAGAAGTTCTCATTAAAATATTTGTGATAACTGTATACTTGCGTTTCAAACTTGTGTACATGACAAATCATTTGATTGAAATTTTAAGGTTTTCGGCACCAATGCTAAATTTATAAATCTCTGAAAAAACCTTATTACCGCGCACAATTTTCGTGTCGTGATCCTAGCTTATTTTACCCGCTAGCCACCGCAAAAGTAGCTAAAAGTACTTTAGAGAGGGAGGAAACGAAAGGATTCTGTTAAGTTTATGATTAAGAGTGGATTCATGTGCAGCATCCGCGTATAGCTGTCGCATTTGCCCGCTGTAATTTTTTATTGTTTTTAAGCTTAATAATAATAAAAAATTCCAGCGAGAAAATGAGACACCTATAAAAAGATAAAATAGCAAAAAGTAGATTGAATTGTTTTTACTCAAGTTCTTCTCATTCGCGCTATTTCCTACACAAACCACGCTTTGATAGAATGTTGAATTAAGGTAAAAAAAAAAAAAACACTGCAAAAACCGTGTACGATCAATCTTGCTCAAAGTCGGATCAAAAAAGATCGTGATCAGTCAAAATAGATCAAATTGAAAACGTTACAATCAAGAAGACTTTTGCAGGGACTGATCAAACAACGTGAAATAGAGTTTGGTTGCGACTTTTCGACTGCCCAATACCAGTCTTCATCAGGTTTATTTGAGATATCACGAATTTACAGAAATATATATGAGGTAAAATAATGACCGGAAATTACATAATACATGTATGACGGGTATGGTGTGGCTACAAAGCACGTGGAGCCCACCTTATCCACAAAGCTAAGAAAATTGAACCTCTGGGCATCAATAAACGTGATGAACTGTAACTATATATAGTATATCTTTTATTTTTTTGTTATATTGTCTTTTTAAAGTAGCCACACCATCCACGTCATATTATGTAATTTCCGGTCATTATTTTTGTAAATTCGTGATACCTGATGAAGACTGGTATTGGCCAGTCGAAAAATCGCAACCAAACTCTATTTCACGTTGTTTGATCAGTCCCTGCAAAAGTCTTCTTGACTGTAACGTTTTCAATTTGATCTATTTTGACTGATCACGATCACGAAAGTCATTGCCTTTTTTTGGTTGGTAGGCCTGTTTAAAGTACCGCCTGTCCTTGACCAGTTAAACAAGACTGCTCCAAGCCTGCGTTAGTGTTGAACATCCATATATGAAAAAAATCCTTCGAGTTGTTTTTTTGGCCAAAAGAAAATTTTCTTTCATTGCGAAGCCTGGGTTGTCTAGTCAATCATGGCCGAAAGGCCAGACTAATACATCAAACTTTGAATACCCCTAGGTGAAAACAAGCTTGTGCAAACGAATCACAAACAAAACACCTGTTTCACACCGAATTCACACAGTGTGTGTGCGTTTGCTGCTCTCTAGTGTATCATTAAATTTAAAGACGAACTTAGGCATTGAAACGAATGGCAATGGATGGACATGGAATGAAACTTTAAAAAGTTGGGCCAACCTAGCTTTTCAAGTTTTGATGCGATGCCTGCAAAACCCTCCAAAAAGAATTATCATGTTTACTGCTCCCCTGTAACATTTGCTTGATATTTTCTTCATAATTTTACAGAAGCATGTTTTGTACACGGTAAAGGTACAATAAGCACAGAATTGACCTAAATCCCCGGGGAGGGGTACTCAGGGGAATTCTTGGTGGGATGTGCCTCCCGGTACCCCAAATCCTGACCCTGTTTCAGACCAAAAAATGTCATTTTCCACACTCGTTTTCAGACCAGGCCTCTAGAATCCATAGCCATTTTCAGACCTGGCCTTTAGGCAGAAATTATGTCATCATTACTTACATTAGAGCGCAAACAAAAAAATTCTTCAAATCCACTTCGAATTCGCATATTTCTCTTTCTTTCCGTACTCCGATTATTTAGAATTGAAGCGATAAATACGTTCATACACTCCCGTAGTTCCCTCGAAAACTATACCCGATTCCAGACCAAAACGGGCAAAATCTATACCCGTTTTCAGACCAAAAAAGGCGCAAAAACCTTACCTTTTGTGGCGGCACATACCCTGATAATGACTTATAGAATGGATTAGCCCCAGGGCCTAACAACAGCAATATCCTGGTGAAATAGCCCCTTTAGGCTTCAGGCAATTGTTCCTCTCTGCTGTCGAGTGTCGTGCTCCTGTCTATCGATGTCTAGCTCCCACGTTGTTTCATTCATTCATTATTAATTTTGGTTCCCAGGTGAGAAACGATACTGTTTTTCAGTTTCACGACTTTTATACCTATTTTGGCATGTTATTTTGCCGGCGGGCACCCTTATCTTTAGCCGAGGGACAAAGTTAGAATTCTTCGTTTAGTCGGTGCAACTGGACAACGCCGGTTCCTTTATTTGGGATAGTGTCAAACTGCGAAATTTTTAACTCGCTTTAAGTGCTTCATTTCATTTAAGATACTTATTCACCAGCTCCTCCGGCAGAAAAAACTCTGCACAATGTTATCAGCAGGAGAAGTGCAACACTGGTCCTCTTGACCTGTTCGTTATCTTTAAAGTCAAGCAGCGGATGGTTTTAGATAGCATCTCTTCCCGGGGGAGATGTACTTAACAAAGATTTATACGGGGAGGCTTCGCCCCTCCGCCCCAAGCTCCAGCCCCGTAGGCTTTCATATACCATTTGGCTGAAAAGGTAACCCTTTCGTATACTGTCTTTGACGCCCCGGGAAAAACGGGGCGTATAAGACAAACCAACCACGCGACTGACAAGCGACTAGAACGACTCAAGAAAGAAACCTCTTCTGGCAGGGTAATTACTGATTCGACCCAAAAGCTAAGACCCTTGAGCAATAGATATCTATAAACATGACCAACTGTCAGAACTCTGTAACTACATATCACTAGCATAGAAATTTATATTTCATTTTCTTTCCACACCATATCACGTCATATGCAACCTCTGATCAGTATCACTTATGTTTCGGAAAATCAATGATTTGTGTTAACCTGAAGAACACTGACAGAACTGACTCATGGAAGGATCAAGTAATGCTCAAGCCAAAATTAGAAAGAGAATACGTTGCATGATACCTGTCTAAAAATTGCCTCTTTATTTAGAATAAAATCGCTCTAATCTGTAAGTGGTATAGGATCTAGCCTGTGCCAGGCTCTCAGATAGTATAGTGTGGACGTATTAAACGACTTTTCACCACTATCTCGGAGCCTGGAACAGGCTATATAGGATCAGGAGACATGATAGGTGTCTATAATTGCCTTTAGAAAATGTTGTTACATGCCACAGACGTTTTTTCTTTTCTTCTTTTTTCAACAATTTTTACGTGAGGAGCATGCACAAGCCAACGGTAATTTGCTTTTCCTGGAGTCGAGAAAGCAAGTTCACTCCCAGAGATGTCTAAAGACTGTCTATTTTCTCATGAATTTGTCCACCGGCCACCCCGCTAGTGTTCAATAACCCCCCCTCCCTCTGTTTTTGTTTTCACACAGGCTATAGGAAACGAAGTCGTTCCAATCCGTAAGAAGTGCCGGCTGGTTCATTTCCTCAAAGGGGTAGTAAGATTGGTCGCTTTTGAGCTTAATTAAAGAATTTCCTGGGTTAATTGTCGTGACCCCTTTTCGCCGTCTAAGCCGCGTTAGGTTCTAAACTGGAATTGTTCATTCTTTTCCACATACAGGGGCGTACTTAGAGCTACGTTTTGTCAGTAAAAGAACTGTCATTGATAAAAAAAAAAAAACAAACAAAAACATGAAATGAAAGTAAAGGCTAAAGGCGGTGTAATTGATAACGTCAATTGGAAAATGAAATGCGCTTTTTTCGACACAGTATCAATATCAAACAGTATCGAAAAGTCACAAAAAATAGATATAAAAAAGATACGAAATCAAAAGATGAATGATTTGATTTCAGAACTTTTGCGTCTATCTCAGAATGACCTAAGTGAAGTTGTGAAGGAAGAACGGCTTTACAAGCTTCTTGTTAGAACTTGTTACCAAACTCCAAATATAGATCTACCTTCGGATCACGTAACAAACCATGATTTGATGGAAACCCACATGCGCTTGTCATCTTAATTGCTCAGCACAAACAAAAACATGATTTTTGGCTCTTTCTTCGAAGCCTGAGTACACACCTGGTATGTCCTTAAAATATTATATTGGCCAATTTCAACCTCACCCATAGAAAAAGAAGTTAACTTAAAAAAGTATCCATCTCTGTAAGATTCTAGAAGCGACTTGCAGTCGTAATTTGGATGGTACGTGTTTTTCAGCGGGAGTTGGAGTTGAGACCTCGTTATCAGTTTCCTGACCTATCTTCTAGAACCTCAGTTGATCGAAGGGCGTTGTTATTTTGATGGTATCGAGGTTCGTGACCATAGACTCCTCAACCTACTTCTGGCTATTGTTTGCTAAAAATACCCGCTTAGCATCGATTAACTGTGCATTTGATAATGTTAATGTCCGTGTCCACGATGTCTAATCTCTGTACTGTACCGCTAAAGAACGTTTTTCACCTGCACTAAAACTTTAAAGTTCAATTATGGAAAACTCCAACTGGCAGCGCCTACGAAAGTTGCCCATTTTCGAGCAAAATGTCAGGAAATCAGCTCCACATCAAGGACAATTCAGCGATATCGACCCCGAACTGTGTTTAAATCTGCTCCGTATACCATCTCTAAAGAATTTTTCGGCGCTTCACCCAAAACTCGCCAAATGTTCGTCCGAATGGATGTGGGAATTTCTTTCCCTTGGAGGGCTAGAGGTACTTATGAACGCTCTAGAGATTCTTTCAATGCGTCTTTCCGCCGAATCTGGGCATTTCGCTTTCATGGATGCATTTGTGGCAGTAGAATGCGTTCAGTGCATCAAAGGAGTTCTCAACTCTCACGCCGGCGTGCAATATTTTGTCTCCTCTCCCGATCTTGTTAGCCAGTTGGCGTACGGTAAGAGAATATACAATTCTAGCAAAATATGTATTTTACTATATCGATCTGACCAAATAACCCTAAATCTTGTTTGTAATAGCAATTTTAGAAATTGCCTTAGGGCACTCAACCTGTGGGTGTCGTTGAATTAGCGCTGTTTGGCAGTTTCAAGGATCTCTGGTTTTTCGTTTCTGAGTACAGCCGCTTGTGTGATTTTTCCTGTCTAAACTGCCCTTTCATCCTTTTGTTTCGACAAGAGAGAAAGACTAATTTAAACTACAATGTGTTACCTCGTGGTCACGAATATCACCTTCGATGCCGGCTAGCGGTTGCATGAGATCCGTGAATGTAATTTTTACGCCACCAAGCTTAGCAATGACCACAAAAATCTACCGATTCTAAATTGTGGGCAAAATCGCATTGAAGTTCTCTATTTGCACTTGATACTTGTTCTATTTATTTTAGTTTCCGGTGTGAATGCTGATTTCGTATTTCGACGTACACGTCTGATTAGGAGTTTTTGTGTGGTCTGTTCCAAAGTACAACACACCGTCTACTGCATATGGCAAGAGTAAAAATTTCTCATTCTAGAAGTCTAGATATGTGTTAGAGGGAAAATAATTACTGGAAAGAATGTCTTACCTTGTTTGATAGCGTGATCTGTTCAAAACATTTCATGCGTGATTACGTGACCTGGCTTTTAATAATGGACAAGTGGAAACACTTCATTAAAACATCACGAATTATTACAAGATTTCAAGTTAATGCTATTCGATTGTTGCTTTAATTAATCGCATGTTTTATAAGTAGTCTAACAGTGGCAAAGAGCTATGTTTTAGACCAAAAGCTTGTTTTAATGAAGAGTTGTTGTTGTGAGTTGTTAGTGACGCAAGCTGGGCGCTATCAAATTATTGTTCTTTGGCAGCCGGTTCAGTTATAACATAAGAAAGGTCTATAAATACAAAAACACGAAAACAAAACAAACAAACAAGAGAACAAAACAAAAGAAAAGGAAAAAAGGAATAAAATGAGGAAAATAAATAGAAAGAAAAAAAAAACATATAATAAAAGCCAAGCCTCAGGCTGTGCGCATGCCTAGTTATCTTAATTTTTTTTTTGACTAAAGTAAATTCCACTTCCCTCAACCCTTTATCGGTTTTAGCTCAAAATACTTTTGCGCTTTCCTGTCTTTATATACTATTCATCACCATTCATTGCAATTAGTGGCTGGCAATGCAGAATGCTGCCTTTGTTTCCTGGGTGAATTCTAATGATTGGCATTTAATGGTCCGTGCGCCACGGGACCACCAAAACTACCCGTGAAATGTATTCCGTAGAAATTTAACGAAGATGTCGAGCACCGGGGCGAAAAACAAATGGTCGTCTTTACAAAGACATTTCAATAGCGGAGAACACATTTTGTTGCTTTCGAGCGAATCTTCTCCAGAATATTGCGTTCGATTATTGAAATACCCGTCTGTTCAAAACTACTATGGTATGAGAGGCAAGCTGATGTGTTCTTCAAACGACTGGATGGCAGAATTTCTTGAAAATGATGGGATGGACGTTTTATTGGGCGCTTTGGAACGATTAAGTTCTCGAAAGTTGTTTGTTGACGCTGTTATGCTTCTGGAATGTACATGTTGCATTAAAATGGTTTTGAACTCCAAAGCTGGACTAGAATTCATGATTGGAAATCGCGACTTTACGCGGAGACTTGGTCGAGGTTAGTAATCTTCTTGTAGCGTTTGGTATCACGCAGTTTTGTCCAGCGGGTTCTTTTTAAAACATGTCTTTGTATGTCCACCGTATTTCATTGTCTATCTTTCGTCCGTCACTCTTAAACCGATCGACCAAAGTGAAAAAATTTCACTAACACGGAAATTATTTTTAAAAGTATTGCTTCTTGCGCCTTATTATGTGGTCAATACTGGGTTTACCTCGGTGTTAAAACCTGTGAAGTTTTTCTGTGTTTTCTAGCTATTATTTTTCTTGGCTCTATTGTGTGGTCTTCTCTGGTTTATCTTTTGTGTTTTAGACACTTCGTTTTACCGCCTGTCCGCGATAACGACAGAAGAAAAATTAAGCTAAAGTTTATTTTTTTACTGGTATGTCTCGAACTGCATTGTTTGGCCGTAACGATTTCCACACGAATGAAAACAGAGATTTGCATTTGAACACAAAAAATTGTGATACATCATTTTCTTACTTTAAAAAATTTACAAATGTTGAGTCGCAATTGTCAACGTTACCCTATGTTATTTGCGGGGCTCTTGTTAATTACAAAAATTATATTTGATAACAACAGGTGTAACAATTAGATGTCCCCAGGTTATGTAGCTGATTTTAGCTGTAAAAGACAATATCTTTTGCTCAAGCTTATATACTGCGTATGTAACAATAGGTTTTGAGATCTATGGAATCTCCTTCGACGCAGTTTTGGTTTTATAATCGCCCGCTTTCATGAAAAGAGAGAAATTAAACAGCGTCGATTAAAAAAAATGCTGTTTAAGCGGTATTTGCAGTCAGGCAAAATACATCAAACATTTATCGTTAGCAAAATTTGCGGTTATAAAGGTTATTTCTAAATATTGATTTAGTACCTTTACGGAGTGAAGTTATAAGGTGAAAATTAGATTTAGCAATAAAGTTCCAGGTTACAAGATTCTCTCTTTTTCAATGTTACATCAACCTGTTTTTCTCTTTTTGATTCGCAATTGTCTGTCTGTTTGTTTTTCCATTGTTGAAGGGATTAATTATAATTTATAAGTAACGACTTTGGTGAACAACTTCGGGAATCTCATGTGATGTCCTCTTACACATTCAGAAGTTAGAAGTGAGATTTGTTCTTAACGTGTTCCAGGCGTTCACAGAGTAGATCGCAATCGCAATCGCGATTTCACTCGCTCCCTACCACCTGAACGCCCCGCTCGACTATCCGAACTCCTAGAACAGGCTGATTTGTTCTTGATGCTTACTACTTTTTTGTCGTAGTTTATAGACGGACTCTGTTTTCTCAAACTCTATTTTTCCATTCTGGTTTTGACAAAGACAAAAGTCACGTTGACACGTTGCTGGAAAAATTTTCGAACCGGTAGCCTGCGAAACCAGCCGTTTCTCCTCGCTCTTCGCCGCGGAGGACGTTTCGCGAGAGCGAGGAGAGTAACGGCTGTTTTCGCAGGCTATTTCGACCGGCTGAAAAAATTAACCCCTAACATCTTGTTCACACGGAATAGTCAGTTCAATATGTTCACTGTGTTCACAAGGACTAACTGGCAAAACCAGGTGAAATTTTAACTTTTGTCAGCGTTTTTATCATCTGCCATGCGCAGTGGGCTACTTGAGCAAGTATCCCTTCAGCTGAGTGATCACGTTTCATGAAACCACGCCTCTGCCGTACAGGAAACTCGGGTATTCACACTGCGTCACTCAACTTTTCGACCGTACCGGCTAAAAATGACCTCAAGTGGGCGCTAAATTTTTGATCGACTAAGCGCTTTAGTTATCATACAGTTGGCGGAATGAGCGAAAATCTGACACTTTAATTTTCAACCGGTCGAAAGTTCGTCCAGTTATAAGCTTTGATTGTAATCAGATTACGGTCCCCTGCAAGTACGTCACTTCCGGTTGGTAGTACGATTTTAAAAACCTTTTAAAGCAGAAAACCAGCTCATTGTCTTCCAAATATAATGTAGAAGGTAAAATTGAATATTTTAGAGCGAAAAGACCCCTCTCATTCATCGTGTTTTCACTAAACTCAATGCGAACAACAAATTATTTTCCAGTAAATATTAACTTGCTCATGAGAGCCGATGAACGACCACCCCTCCTGGGATTTCTCCAGTAATCCCAGTGTTTGCACAAATTTTCAGTCTTTGCTTTTGTTTGTGCATTTCCTGCACTGCTCTCGAAGCTGGTTTCTGGAAATTGCGCACGATTTTCGCTGGCTTTCTCCTACATATCGAGCATCAACCGAAAACCGGTGGCGCTCTCTAGCCCTTGTGTGTTGAAACGTCAGTGGAAACCGTAAAATGGCCTTCAACGCAAAGTCCATATGGCGAAAGATTTCTAGAGAAAATAAGGACGTCTCCTTCCCAAACACTGAACTTATCGCGGACGCAGATCCCGAGTTGTGCGTCAAATTATTGAAAACTCCGTCGCTGAAGAATTTCTCCGGGATAAGGCCGCGCTTAGAGAAGGCGAACAAAGAATGGCTGAGCGAATTTCTTGTCCTCGGTGGAATGAACTGCTTGCTCGACAGTCTATCGTGTTTATCTGAGACTAGACACTTCTCTGAAGCTCTTGAACAAATCGAATGTGTAAGATGTATCAAAGCAGTCATGAATTCTCCCACTGGTTTGGAGCTTATGATCCAAAGTAACGAGCAAACTAGGTCGCTAATAAAAGGTAAGAGAAAATTCTACGTGTAATTCAAGTCGCCATTGTAATGCCCTTTGGGAACCGGTTTTATTTACGTGGACCAGTTTAGAATATTTATTTCATTTAGACAATAACAACGCTTTTAAAAAACCGTTAGCAGGAAAAGTAAGTACCCTGTGAAGTATGGTTATAGTAGTAAATATCAATAGAAAATGAATGTGGGGGATTTCATCACTCATTTTGTCTTTATTTTCCGTGGTATTCGAAATTCATGATACATTCATTTTTCCTTTCTACTCGATTGTTTGTTGAAGAGTTAAACAGAGGATTGTGAAATTTGCATATAAAACAAAAGGATTACTGCATGACGTATACCTTATTCTTTCCCTTTGAGTACCAGCAACCATTTGCAGTGCCGGATCCACACCTTGAGATAAGAGGAGGGGGTGGGGGGGGGGGGGGGGCCCCCCTGGATCCGCCCCTGATGTGCTTATTCAGTTCCTTTTTTTTTTTTTTTTTTTTTTTTTTTTTTTTTTTTTTTTTTTTTCTTTTGATTTGCAAATATTTTATTTTTTTTTTTTTTTTTCCATTAACTATAAAACCGGAAAACAAAAAAGAGATAGGGGAAAAAAAACAATGAGTGTGAAACCCGCAAACCAAAAGAAAAAAAATTTGGGGGTTTTTTAAAAGCGACCCCCAACTTTTAAAAATTTGACAAAAATTTTTTTTTGTGTTTTGTTTTATTGTTATAGAAAGAAGTAAAAGGAGTATATAATATTTTTAATAAAAAAAAATTGTCTTCGTCTTAGGTGTCTTCATTCTTCTCTGTGGGGGCGTGGCAGGGGGGGGGGGGGGGGGGGGGCCCGCGGGGGGGGGGGGGGGGGGGGGGGGGGGGGGGGTGCTCCCCTGGATCCGCCACTGATGTGCTTATTCAGTTCCTTTTCTTTTCTTTTTCTTCTTTTTTTTGTTTTCTTTTTCTTCTTTCGATAGACTTTCTTATTTCCGAACCTTAATAATAATAATAAAAATAAACATCAAGTCATTTCATACCGTCAGTTCACTTTCTGCTATGTTTATGCACTATTTGAGTGAATTGAAGTACTGACGGATAAGTCTGCTCAGTTAGCCTAAGTCCCAAAGTATTATTGTACACAAACATAGCAATTTCTGGCCTTTTTTACCAAAATCCCAAAGAGACTATACAAATAAAGTCAATTTTCTTATATGAATGTCACAGCGTAGGTCCACAGAATTATTATCAATTATTGGACGAGGCTGTATTCTTCATCTAGCATGCAGTTTTCATCCGTTGAGTGGTATTTGAGGGAACAGTTGGGCTATTTCGTCTTTGCACAACGGTATACCTTGCACAACGCGCATGAAATTTTCCACCATTTCATCCAGTTCAGCACTTCCGAAACAGCTGAGCCACCGCTCCTCTTGCTTGTGGTTCCTATTTTCGGTCGATATCAATACGATTGACGTCAATCGTACTGATTCGGCAAACTTCTTCCAAGTTTGCTATTTTAACGCTAGCTGGTTATGAAGAATTACCCTTTAAACCTAACGGCTTATAAGTAAAGGAGAAATATTTTCAATGAATAATAAATCCATTAAATGACTAGAATGACTTCAATTGGTGCAGCAGCGAGTTGCGCGAGAGTTTACGAGATGCGTATTTCTAGTAATTCCCGTAACTCTTTTTTTACTCTTTAACATTTGAATCGAAGCTGGAATCATAGTGCTATACTGCCTTGTTTATGGACGTGCCTTGTAGCTAAAAAGTGAACGTTAAGTGTATTTTAATGAATTTTCGCTTCTTATTTCAATGCACATCATGTGTAATTAGAATATACTCTGTTGATATTGTTCTTACTTTTGACCAGTCATAAAAACAAGAATTGACGCTGTCACCTGATAGCTAAGTTTTTTATTCAAAAAAGCTTCGACTGTGTAGACAAAGGCGACTTCTAAGCAAATTTTTCGAAGGTGTAATACACCTGCACTGGAATTGACAGCCATTTTTGATGGAGATAAATTTTGATAGATCCTCTAATGGCTAACGTTCGCAGTCCCAAAATTACCTTTGAGCGTGGATATTAATTAAAATTACTTGCGTGTACATTTTGTGCTGTTTTTAAGCAAATTACAAACTAATTCATTTACCTCATTGAACAGAATCCTTTTAAATTTGAAAACTGTCAGTTCATTCCATACAAATGTATTATCAGATTTAAGTACCCTTTAAACAGAGCAAACAGAAAATGAGCCTCATTTGCTAGTCTTGTCTATAATTACAAAGTCTTACTAAAAAAAACTTTCACTAAGTGAATAACAAAATATTCAATATTCTGACGTTTACAAATGAATATTTGCGTTTATGTACTGATAACCTGTCTCACCTTCTCTGTTTATTGTGATAAATTCGCTCTCGAAAATTATAACAATACACGCCCGGTTTAATTAGCTCCCTCCGTGATGTCATTTGTAGACCAATTTCCAAGTCTAATACGTTATTGGTGCGAACTTTCAATCATTAATGCCGTTCCATTTACTAAAGGAAGTCTTCCTAAACGCTGTTAACGATCTGCATGCCCTGGGGTGGGCAAATAAGATAAGACTGAATATTGAAGAGACTCTGCCGGGCGATTCTAATGACTTTGAGAGGATTTTTTTCTCGTAAACCGCAAAGCCGCGTAGATTTTCAGCTTAATGCCACAAAACCGGACAGTTACTTAGNAACAGAAAATGAGCCTCATTTGCTAGTCTTGTCTATAATTACAAAGTCTTACTAAAAAAAACTTTCACTAAGTGAATAACAAAATATTCAATATTCTGACGTTTACAAATGAATATTTGCGTTTATGTACTGATAACCTGTCTCACCTTCTCTGTTTATTGTGATAAATTCGCTCTCGAAAATTATAACAGTACACGCCCGGTTTAATTAGCTCCCTCCGTGATGTCTTTTGTAGACCAATTTCCAAGTCTAATACGTTATTGGTGCGAACTTTCAATCATTAATGCCGTTCCATTTACTAAAGAAAGTCTTCCTAAACGCTGTTAACGATCTGCATGCCCTGGGGTGGGCAAATAAGATAAGACTGAATATTGAAGAGACTCTGCCGGGCGATTCTAATGACTTTGAGAGGGTTTTTTTCTCGTAAACCGCAAAGCCGCGTAGATTTTCAGCTTAATGCCACAAAACCGGACAGTTACTTAGACTTATCAGAGTCCATTGTGTATAATGGCTAACGCTATAGTCGCCAGAAGATGGGATGTTATCCGTCAACAGTTTCAGAACAGCGTAGACGATTGTGAGCAAAATGAAACGGGAAGTGTTTCCTTCTCCAAAGATGTTTCTGCAGAATTGTGTGTTCGTTTACTCAGCGCCTCGTCTCTTCAAAACTTCTCTGGCCTTAAATCAAAACTTCAAGAAAGTTCTGGTCAGTGGATTGAAGACTTTATCATCCATGGTGGAATGGAAGTTCTCTTCCAAGCATTAGACAGGTTAAGCCAAACCGGTAGAATGGCTTTCTTAGAGGCATTTATGCAACTGGAGTGTGTTAATTGCATCAAAGCGGTTATGAACTCAAAACAAGGGCTCGATTCGATGACGAAAAACAAGACTTTGGTGCGAAATCTAGCTCAAGGTTGGCTTGAACTGATATTTCAGTACAATTCAGTTTATATTAGATCGTACCTTAATTGTGTTTCTGTGCTTTCTTAAATTCACAACATATAATAGGGAACTGTTTTGTCCTCCGAGTTTTAATCCAGTGATTCGAACTCGATGCTTTTCCGTAGAGGTGTTCGCTTATCGTATGTTTGCGTTCATTCCAAGGAATTATTTTAGATTATCTCGTGTTTACATTTGTGGCTTGATACTTAACGTTGATATAGAAGATACAGAGAAACAAATCATGGTACTTATCCATATATTTAGCGACCCTAATTTATCTTCCATTGGACTTGCGTAGGTAGGGTGTTAATAACTCCTGCCATTTTTCCACTGCCCGAAATTTATCAGGCCAAAAAACTCTTAGGTGGGTGATATCACAATTCTTATATATAACGGAAAGTTTATTTGTGACCGTTCGTAAATTGAAATTTCTCACTGTAGATCTTGGCGCCTTTTGTAGTTTGCTCGAAAATCAACCAATGTTTACTTTTTGTTGCAAACAGAAACCTTGCACTCGTGCAGAGAAGAAAATGAGAAAAGCACGAAAGCATTAATAATTGAAACTTTGTCGAAATGGACATTATCTATATACAGCTGTTTCGAGACAGGTTGTCGGAAGAAATGCGCACGCGACAATCCCTAAAGGTAATATGGGATATGATCAATACTCTGTTCCTAACGACTGAAGCTGTCGAACCTACTTTTGTTGCTTTCCTTTCGCACTCGCAAACATATGTCCGTGGCCTCCCGTACCATTCTTTCCAATTTTTTTGAAGAAAAGTGTCCTCAAAGCCACCCACAATACCTTTCGGGATTGTCGCGTGCACTTTTTCCGACAACCTTTCTCGAAATAGCTGTATATCATTTTTACACTAAAAGTAATCTATTATCACTGATAGAGGCTTTTAACTAAAAATGCCTTGTGCGACCAACAGCCTTAAAAATAACGTTTTTTTATCCTTTTTCTTTTCTCTTGTGTGTAGAGCTTTGTTTTAATATTTTCTTTTACATCTATGTAAATAGCCTGCTCTCTTTTTTTATACGAATCCGCTTTAACCGCGGCAATAAGTTAAGGAGACTTTTCGAGAACTCTGATTAAGATGTCTGTCTATATAACAATAACTTTAAAAACCCTAGTTACAATCAAATTCTCCGTTGTGAAATAAGTGATGCAAGAGCATGTTTGTTGGAAACAAATTTACATAAAATTGAATTTTTCCCGCGGCCTTGTCCCGCGGGATAAAAGACCCGGCAGTGTATTTGCAACTAATGACTCGTACTGTTTGTACTAACCTGTATTTGAAGTCAATGAATAATTAACATACATGTATCCTTTGCGGGTTTGCAAAACTGACTGCAGTCACAAACCATGTTTTTTCTCCCGTCAAGTTACAATTAAAACACCCCCGGACGCCGAACTTTTCATGAGCCGAACCTAATTCGAATTAAGGCCGACCCGAATTATTTAGACCGGCTGAATTGATTCACTGTACTTAATTCAATGTATATGTATGGGGTTTGGCTCATGAAATGTACGGCGTCTGAACCGGGCTTAGGCAATAAATATTATTAACTTTCTCTTCCGTTTTGTTTCAGCCCTGGACACAAATAATACTATGATCAAGAAACAGGTCTTCGAGCTTCTTTCCGCATTGTGTCTTTACTCCAATCAAGGACATAAGCTGGCAATCGATGCACTCGAGAATTACAAGGTATTTTGTAATACATATTAATTAGTTTCCCCTTTCGAAGTACGGTACATCTGGAGCATTTGGCCTAAGCTGAGATGCTGTCCCAAAAAGTACATTTGTTCGGAAACGAAGCTTGGAATAGTTTTATGTCTAATAAGGTTATGTTCACACTGTGCTGGATAGCTCTTGCGCCATACCGTTGGGACCTCTGTTCATGCTTTCGGCGCGATTTCTGTAACGGAGCTGCGCTGCGCCGCGCCGATCTCGAAAGTGGAGCTAGCCTCGCATAGAACGTAAAGATAGTGGTTAATTTTTCTTCCTTTTCCCGAACTGAAAACTTTTCTTATGACTGGAATTAACTAGCGGGACATATCAGATGCCTAGGTAAACAACAGAACGATATAATTTCGAAGTAATTCAAATTGGTGCAAGTTGCTTTCTCATGTGACGTTTTCCCTGGCGATACGGCATCGTTGCTTCCAATAGAAACTTTAAGATCCAACAGCGATGACGCCAACGAAAACGTTCCTGACAAACAGACTTTACGTCGTTTCCAACTTTTCGCGATTATTCTAACTTATTCCTTTAAAGGTAGGAAAATTCAGGTTGAGCTGAAGGGTCAGATATAGTGATATTTCACTTTATAAATTTAGTCATTTCACGTCGTACTCGCGCGGGAATGAATTGTATCTCCCTGCTTCATGTTAGGCTGAATAACAGGTTGTAGGTGTACCAGTTAAAGAGAGATATACAGCTGATACTTTTCTCCTATCTTATTCCAATAACAGCTTACTAAAGGACAAAGATACAGATTTAGCCTGGTCATTAATGAACTAAAAAATGCTGAAGTCATACCGTATATGACTACTTGCCTGGCTTTTATTAACACCATACTTATTGCTACTGAAGACTTCGAAGAACGTGTGAGACTGAGGAACGAATTTGCAGGTACATAACCCAAAAGTACATTTCCTAAAATGTAAAATAATATAATATATAACTAATGTACATTATTTTATATTATAAAATGTCCAAAAGCAAAAATGTACCGTTTGAATGATCATTTCATGATGTCGTTTCCGCTGACTCAAGGATCTTCCTCTTCGAGGCAATGGTTACACTCACTGAGTTGTGTTTCAGTAGGAGACTAAAATTGAAAGTTACTCTTAATTATCAAGACAAGACTAATTCTGCATACTGAGACTTGAATGGCTAGATGCGAATATAACTGTAACAGTTTCCGATTATTATAAATTTGTTTTCCAACAGTAATCAAAAACGGAGATGGCTCCTTGAATTTGAATGTTGCAGTCCTCTTGAAACATAATCTCACACAGTTGTGTAGAACTTGTCAAAGTTGAATATCAACTGACATTGCTATTTTGGAGGGAAGACTTTAGCAGCGAACGTCTGTCCCCTTAAACTTTCCTAACTTCGTATTTGATTCTTGAATTATTTATATCTTAGTGTTATCACTAAGTTTTGACCACAAGCTCCGTGAATGGTTTAAGTCCTGCAAATAAAAAAGGAAAAGAAGGGGGAGTGAGATAAGTCTTAGGTGTGAAACAAGATGAAAATCGCCAAGACTGAATGTGAAAACGTGCCAAAAAAGGAGCGGGCAACTTGCATTTTATACAGTTAAAGGAATTTGTCTTTGTATTGCTGCTTATCCAACAAGCTTGAGCTAATTTTTTATTATTTTATTTTAAAATAAGTGGTTACAAGTTAGTTTCTCGTGTCGTTTAGTGGTCGAACACTGCTACCTGCAGCGAGAAAATTGTCGCGAGGATGCTTGAGGTTTGAACTGTAATCGTAATTGGTCAAAAACAGAAAATTTACATTCAATGTACAACTCGGCTACTATTCGCGCCAAATAGTTGGCAGGTGAATTTGTCTAACAACACGTACTAGTTAATTTTTACAAAAAAGAGAAGAAGCATCGACGCCGTTACCTTGCTATTTTTTTAATTTTTTTTTTCGACGATTGCAACAACCGCGTATTTGTCGATGAGTATTTGTGGGAATATCTCCAGGACTTTTTAATTTTTTGGCCTGCCTCAGCGGAGAAATAAACACATGTAGGGTCAGCATGAAGCTCCATGTTGCTGGAAATTAATGGCTCCAATTTATCCCTCTTCAGGTCTTGGATTACTGGACATTCTGAGCAATTTAAGGTAAGAGGTAACTCACAGACAGTGCTTAGTGCTTTCAAACGCTCTATTTTTATAGGGGATGAAGTTGACAGAGGCAATTTTTATTCTTATTACGTTTTATGTGAGATCGAAAATCATTTTTAAGTACCGTTAAGTGTATCTCTGTTTTCTAAAAATTTCGGTATAGATATTTACGACTGGAGCAGGACTAAGTACTTCAGTCAAAACAGGTCCCGTATGTGGAAAAGATACAGTGGAAAATTCCTCGTAGCATGCAGCAGATCAAATTCACATCTGCGAAAAGTTGAATTTGACGACATTCACCAATTATAACAATTTACTTGTGCCATGCTTTTTGAGAAGTAATGAGCTCATTTAAGTGAACACGTAAAGCAAGTAAACAGTTGAGTAGCCACTCGAAATCAGGCAAAAAGAAAGAAACGAATGTTCATTATATATCAGTTCACCCAATTAAATCTAGTTGGTTAGGACAATTATTTTTACTATGACATTAAAACCAAGGGAATATATATACATGTATGAAATATGAATGTAAAAAGTGCAAACAAGCTATTCTAACCACGTTCCACAATTTCTTAGTTTAGGAAAAAATAAGATCACAATTTAAAAATTAATTATCTCTAAAGAAATGAGCGGGATGTTGAAAGCATGAAAAAATGTAATGCTATTAAGAAAACATTAAAAAGTTCTCTGTTTGTCTATATTATTTCTGAGCTAAAGTTCCCTTCTTGTGAAATGAAACACTAGCATCTGAGTTCAGCGTTTGAGTGATTAAAACAATTACGCAACCGCGAAATTAAATATTACCGACACTGTTTACATTATTCCTGGAATGGCAAAATTCAATACTCGACTCTCGAGTAACAAGTCTTTATGTTTGAGCATTTATTATAGTTCTAAATTACCTCTTAGGCATAACGACGATGAAGATTTACTGGTTCAACTTGACGTATTTGAAGAACAGAGACTAGAAGATGACGAAGAATTGAGTTCTCCAGAAGGGGTTAATCTCACTTCTCATTTGGATGTCTTTCACGCCTTGTTTAGAAAGGTTATTATATACCATCTCCCTTTCTTAGCATATTGCTTCAAGTGTTTTTGTTTACGTATTGTTCTTATACCCTTGTTAGACCGAAGAAGATCTAGAATAAATTCATCAAAGTGTTGGGATAATCGATAAATTCCCTATTCCCAAGAAGGCCATGCTGAACTTGACAAATGCCCGGAGGTTGGGCACACTTGTAATTGACAAAAATCTGACTTAGCCCTTACACCTCACCAGGATTAGCTCAGTCGGCAGAGCGCTTGACTGCAGAGCAGGAGATCGTGGGTTTGATTCCCGTGGCCGTACCAATATAAAGGTACTCCCTTTGCCCTGCTCCTGATTTGGATGACCACGCGCGTAAAATGGCNATGTTTGAGCATTTATTATAGTTCTAAATTACCTCTTAGGCATAACGACGATGAAGATTTACTGGTTCAACTTGACGTATTTGAAGAACAGAGACTAGAAGATGACGAAGAATTGAGTTCTCCAGAAGGGGTTAATCTCACTTCTCATTTGGATGTCTTTCACGCCTTGTTTAGAAAGGTTATTATATACCATCTCCCTTTCTTAGCATATTGCTTCAAGTGTTTTTGTTTACGTATTGTTCTTATACCCTTGTTAGACCGAAGAAGATCTAGAATAAATTCATCAAAGTGTTGGGATAATCGATAAATTCCCTATTCCCAAGAAGGCCATGCTGAACTTGACAAATGCCCGGAGGTTGGGCACACTTGTAATTGACAAAAATCTGACTTAGCCCTTACACCTCACCAGGATTAGCTCAGTCGGCAGAGCGCTTGACTGCAGAGCAGGAGATCGTGGGTTTGATTCCCGTGGCCGTACCAATATAAAGGTACTCCCTTTGCCCTGCTCCTGATTTGGATGACCACGCGCGTAAAATGGCGGTCCCATCTCCATCAGAAGGCTTACTTTAAAAAAATTGTCTTGGTATTTAAGTGCTAATTACATTGACGATTCAAAAGAAGTGCACATTTTTTTATTTTTATCAGTGAAAGGTGGTTAACTACCACCTTAAGTAACTTTCAGTTTATTTCTCGTTCATAGGTGAGCAACAAACCCCAAGGAGTGAACCTTTTGAGCATCTTGCAAAACCTGCTTCTGATAGAAGACGATTCTCCTGTGTCAGACTCTGTCTGGGAAGTGATAGAGAGGCTAGTAAGGCGAGCTGTACACATAGAATCCATCCCTCGGGCCGAGTCGCTGTTAGAGGTAGGCGAGAAAGAACTTATGGGCTTGGGAGATAGATCAGCTATAAGACAACATAACAAAACTGAGCAAAGTGACTCTTCCGATGACAATCTTATTGAACAACGAATGTCTGTGGCGGAGCATTCTGTGGAAGATGTTCGCTCAGCCTGTCTGATGTCTGTTTCCGATCGACAGGATACTTTAACTGCAGATCATAATGAGGTTGTAGAACAGATTCCAGCATCGTCGTGTGAAACTGTATTAGAAGAAGCGGCCCCTGTAACATTCTTCGACGAAGCGCCTTCGTCCTCATCGGTTCAAATACTTGAAGGAATCATACAAAATAACAAGAATGTGGCTGTTAGATCTAAACTAATTAACAAAGAAACAGACTCGAGATCCTCAGAAGGAGAAATGGAAGGAGAGGTTGCATCACCAAGCTCCTGTGAACTTCTCGATCTTGAAAGTGTCGCTATCGAACTTGGTTTATCCAAAAGTTCCTCATCTCCATCCTCTCCAGTAGTAACTGAACAATCGGGTGTTGAAAGTTCGGTAGAGTTAAAGCAAGCTTCCGTTGTCCAAGCGGGACTACCTCCCCCTCCACCTCCCCCTCCACCTCCCCCACCGCCTATTGCTGGTCAATCCAGTGATAGATTTGAGGAGCAACCTTATCAAGCAGCCCCAATTCAAGGAGGTCCCCCACCTCCACCTCCACCTCCACCACCCCCTCCTCCGCTACCTGGGCAAGATGACAGTACAGAGTGTGGTGACTACCCAGTCTCCGAGGGTGCTGCTTCGCCTCCACCACCTCCACCGCCCCCACCGTTACCAGGTAACAGCAGCGTACCACCACCTCCACCTCTCCCAGGATTTGGCGCAGTACCCCCACCGCCTCCTCTCCCAGGAATGGGTAATGTACCGCCGCCTCCTCCCCTACCCGGCATGGGAGGTGTACCGCCTCCCCCTCCTTTGCCTGGAATGGGAGGTGTTCCTCCACCTCCTCCTTTGCCTGGAATGGGAGGTGTTCCACCACCTCCTCCTCTTCCTGGGATGGGTGGTGTTCCTCCACCACCGCCTCCACCTGGTGGTGTTCCACCTCCGCCCCCTCCCGGTGGGTTTGTCACGCGAGCTTTCCAGCAGAATCTGCAAGGCAGGGCAAGTTCTCCCCTCACCCCTGCTGTGAAACCCAAGACCAAGATGAAAACTCTGGCTTGGCAGAAGCTACCGCCTCACGTTATACAAAGGAGCAAAACATGTGTCTGGGCGCGGGTGCAGGCTTTGGAAGTCGTTCAGCCTGATTTCCGACTTGAGGAGGAATTGTTTTGCCAAAAGAAAGCAGCACCCAAGAAAGCAGATTCCAAAAAGAAGGAGTCCTCAGAGGTAAGAGTGGCTGGCGTGTCCAGTAGCCTGAGCTTTAGATTATCCTGGTTTATCCCAAAAACTTATCTCTTCTTTGATTACCGTCACCTCTCTCTTAACCTTTTCACTCCCAGAAGTGTTTAAAGTAAAAATTTAACAAGAATTCCAAAGTTCATTTTGTAAAATAATGCAAAATAATAGTAGCATGTAAAAGTACCGTCAAAGAGGTTGCATTTGGATGATCACACCATAGGATTGTCCACAGACTATAGTTGACTTGCAGAACTCCATCTTCCTTTCACTCTGGCAGTGAAGGTACCTTTCACCTTGAGCTGGTCACTGCCATTGTTTAATCTATACCAGCGGTGGACTTCATCAAGAGAGTTGACTGTATCGATCAAAAAACTTGCTAGAGAAGAGTTTTTGTATCCAAGGAAAATATTTGCATCAGCAGAAGTACATGAAATAATGAAAAGGATACTGCACCGATAAAATACAGGTTTTACAGTGCTTTGCCGTTTGTCCCTTCCTTACAGTATAACTCATTGTCTTTTTTTGCACCATAAAGATCAGTTCGACTGGTTATTTCAGTTGAATGGTATTGTGTAAAATAGGTCACTGTTTATTTTTAACAAGGATTTTGATGCTTTAACTGATATCTGTTGTTTTTGTTGTTGTTTAGATCAGCCTTCTAGACCCGAAAAGAAGTCTTAACGTAAACATATTCATGAAGCAGTTTAAAAAGTAGGTAGTCTACTTCTTATGTTCTTTGTAGTGGCCTCGAGTGTTTAAGTATAAAAGAATTGCGTAGCATTCGTTTCCTCTGCAAACTGTGTAAGGCGAAAAAAAGCTTGGTTTTTCGAATCAAAGAAAATGAAACCCTTGAGAGGAGGCTCATCACACATTGGGTAATATATAGATCGAGATGGAGAAACACCGCCTCTCGCTCGATTTGTTTTCTCTTTTTTTACGCGCTTTGTAAAGGAAAGGACTGCTACATAGGCTAACATGAAAGGCACCTCTAGAAGGCGGTTATTAACACATCACTGACCCGAGGTAACCTTTACCTCAGCACTGGTATGAACTTAATTAATTCGTCAGTAGCCAGATTCCGCTTCTGATGATTTCTGAATTGGAGAGAGTTTATTGTTATTTTGTTCTTCCAAACATTGACTCTTGCTGAGGATGAGAGGGTGAAAATGATTCTCGATTTTGTTTCTTTTATAGAAAAAACGAAGAGATAGTTGAGCTAATCACCAAAGGAGACAGCAAGGCCTTCGACGTAGNAGAAAATGAAACCCTTGAGAGGAGGCTCATCACACATTGGGTAATATATAGATCGAGATGGAGAAACACCGCCTCTCGCTCGATTTGTTTTCTCTTTTTTTACGCGCTTTGTAAAGGAAAGGACTGCTACATAGGCTAACATGAAAGGCACCTCTAGAAGGCGGTTATTAACACATCACTGACCCGAGGTAACCTTTACCTCAGCACTGGTATGAACTTAATTAATTCGTCAGTAGCCAGATTCCGCTTCTGATGATTTCTGAATTGGAGAGAGTTTATTGTTATTTTGTTCTTCCAAACATTGACTCTTGCTGAGGATGAGAGGGTGAAAATGATTCTCGATTTTGTTTCTTTTATAGAAAAAACGAAGAGATAGTTGAGCTAATCACCAAAGGAGACAGCAAGGCCTTCGACGTAGACGTCCTCAAAGCATTCATCAAGCTTCTTCCTGATAACACTGAGGTTAGTAGGAAAACGTTTTTTTTTTTTTGCTTTTAATACCACCACACCACATTAGTTTGGCTGAAACCGTGCTAAAACTTCCGCTTTCACCGACACTTCGTCGGTTTCGCCAGCTTAATTTTATTGGTTCAAGCTCCCGTTATATCAACGGACAAATGGTGCCTTCTTTGCACACTTGGAAAGCAATAAGATTCATTTCATCAGTTTTCGTCATGTAATATGTTCTTTATCTTTCTCTTCCTAGAGAGAAATGCTGAAAGGATTCTCGGGAGACAAGAAACTGCTTGGATCTGCGGAGAAGTTTCTTCTCGCTTTGGTTACCATTCCTGGGTAGGTGGGGTGATTTCAGTCGTGGATCAATCCCATCCATCCCTTAAATCTTTGAAATGTTAACATTGTCAAACAGTTTGTAAGAACTGCACTTATAGTACTAGGAGAGAATCAGATGACGGCTTTTTAAGGTGTAATAACAGGAGTTAACGCGCTTATGGAGACCGTGTGGACGTTACTACAATCTTGAACAACCCACCTTTCTCCTAAGATCAACTTGAACCGCAAGAATACCAAAACCCGACGTTTTCCCTTCCTTGATTTGGAGAGGGCGGGGAAGGGTCGTCTAATTTTCCATTTATTTATCTATGATTGTAGGCTAAGACCAGTTCCAGGTTTGTTAGGTTCAAGTTTAAAATTCACCTCTTTAAAACTTCCAAGGTCCATTCTCGGATTTTTCAGTTTGTTTTCGTGATCCTGTACAATTATGATAGGTGTTACACATTTATTATTATTTTATTGCCAACAGATATAGCCTTCGTCTTGAAGCCATGTTACAGAAGGAAGAGTTTCAGATCACATTAGACACCATCGAACCAAGTATCGAAGCATTAAAAGGAGCAATGGAAGGTGGGGAGATGTTTTTGTCCCATAAGTCGTAGTGCCATCCTGAGGAAAACTTACTGACTTGCTAACAAAGGAAATTAAACTTTTAATACGGTGGGCTGCATGTAGGAAAATTTATTCACAAACTTGAAGCAGACAGCTCCCTTTTCTCTAAACTCAGAACGGTAGCATGGCTAAGCAGTTAGAGCGTTGGGGAAATTATCTTGAGGGCCTCAGTACAATTCCGGTCTTGACCGCGAGCGGGATATTTGTTTATAGTTGTAGTCCCTAGTTCAAAGGAGTCTGGACAACTCTCCTGGTTCAGTTGCCTTAGGCAAGTTGGGATTCTTACCATTGAAGTTATNACACCATCGAACCAAGTATCGAAGCATTAAAAGGAGCAATGGAAGGTGGGGAGATGTTTTTGTCCCATAAGTCGTAGTGCCATCCTGAGGAAAACTTACTGACTTGCTAACAAAGGAAATTAAACTTTTAATACGGTGGGCTGCATGTAAGAAAATTTATTCACAAACTTGAAGCAGACAGCTCCCTTTTCTCTAAACTCAGAACGGTAGCATGGCTAAGCAGTTAGAGCGTTGGGGAAATTATCTTGAGGGCCTCAGTACAATTCCGGTCTTGACCGCGAGCGGGATATTTGTTTATAGTTGTAGTCCCTAGTTCAAAGGAGTCTGGACAACTCTCCTGGTTCAGTTGCCTTAGGCAAGTTGGGATTCTTACCATTGAAGTTATGTTTCATTTGATTTATTTATCGTAATCATTTGTTCGGCGTCAGTAGTCTTTTCCCTTAAGTATCGCCGTAGGTGGAAAAGGTATATTTATTTCTTTATTTAATTTAATTTATCCTGTCTAAAAGACCAGAACAGGAACCCATCCATCTCTTAAGTATAGTCATTCACATGTGTGAGACCTTGAGCGATTCACACATATACCTCTTGTTGACAAAAAATTCACAACGGAAGAGAACAAGAGAGAAATGACAAATATGCTCTCGATGGCAAATCACTGCTAAGCATAATAAGCGTTGTCGATAGGGTTGTTGAAGATTGATGCGGCATTTAGCTGGAGAATACTTGAGAATTTAACCATGAGTTATACAATGCTATTCTCAACTCCTTTTCCATATTCTTCAGACGTTCTTCAAAGTGAAATTCTTCCTGAAGTTCTTCAGTTGATCCTCATCATCGGAAATTTCTTGAATTGTGTAAGTATCCAGCTGCTTTTAACTTGTCATTCTGTACACCACTCTGCACACCATAAGCCACGTGAATACCAATGCTTTCTTATCTTTGACACAGGGTGGGTATGCAGGAAACGCTGTCGCTTTCAAAATCAACTCACTTTTAAAGATTGTTGACACCAGAGCCAACAAACCTCGAATGAACCTGATGCACTTCTTAGTTCACGTAAGTAACAATTAACTATGAAGGGCATTCAAACAAGGGCTTTCAAAATCGTTTGACCAAAGAAAACAAAGCCTGTATGGATTTGGATTCAAGTTAGCCTGCGTAGCAAGCGTTTCTGTGCGGTTTAGGAGCAAAGAATGAGGAACAAGAATCAAAGACCGCGCGAAAAATGACGCAAGTAAAAGAGCGGGGAGGGGGTCATTTTTCGGTTCTCGTTTCATTTCTGGCGCGGTCAAAACCGAAAGTCCTCTTTTGCTCCGAAACCAAACGGAAACGCTTGCTACGCAGGCTAGATTCCAGTGAAAGAGAGAAACGTTATTAAAATGTCTTTGCACCTAAAAATTAGAAGTAATAAGACAAAGTGTGGGCATTTGAGTTTTAACAGTTATTACTTTTTTTGGCCTATGGTAATGGAAAGGTTTTCGGCTTTGTAGGTAGCTGAAGAGAAACGTGAAAAGGTGTTGAAGTTTCCAGATGATATGAAACACCTCGACAAAGCCGTCAAGTAAGTATCAGTACAAGAAGGTCTGATTGTCATATTATGGTAAAGGGGTAATAAGGTAATGAAAGTTTGAAGAGAAAAGTCGATTGCAGGAAAATAGCGAACCGCCACTAAGTTTGGTTACAGCCTTATGTGTCTTCTAGCGCTGTGAGTATCATGGTGATGGGTAATGCTTGGGCCAGCTCGCAATCGTGCCATGTCTGTATCATATGTTGAACTACGCAACTGAACCAGGAAGTCGTAAGACTGATTTGTATGTTAGTCAGAACTAACTGAAGAACTGCTTAATTACTTAACAAATTAAATGGCAATATGATATAACACGATTCGTTGGTGACAAGAGTAAATACTGAGTCCTTGCCTTACCAATATCCTCCCTGAGTATGCGATCCTTTTTGACAGCGCCTACAGGTCACAAATGCGGATTCTGAACTTAATACCAGCCTTTTTAACATGTCATGTTGATGTTGCTTTCTTATTCCTATTTACTAGGCTGTCAGTGGACAATATCACCGAAGAAGTCAAGACCCTGAAGGGGAAACTTAAAGAACTCGAAAAAGGGTTGAAAAAAGGGCCAAAGGACATCTCTTCGCAGTTTTCTGAATTTGTTCAGGTATCGTGATTATTTTTCATCTTTTGGATCGCATCAACTGTTTCTCTGTAGGTAGAGGCATTCTAACTTGTACCTTTATTATTGTTAAGGCACAGGGAAGTGAAACATAACTAAATGTAATCTGTTGCTGTTTCCTCTAGACCGCTGTAAAAAAGACTAAAGAACTTGACGACGGAATCAAGGAAATTCATGAGCTAACCAAGCAACTGGCGCAGTATTTCTGCGAGGATGAGGGCAAGTTAAAACTACAGGAATTGTTATCTTTATTCAAGACCTTTTCTGATCAACTTGTCACAGCTAAAAAGGTAAGCTGCATGAAATATAATTATTAAGTTGCTTGAGTTACAGTGTTTGACTACAAAACCTGAGCGGGGATTTTGGGGGCTTTAGTCTCGGTAACTCGGTACAGACATTATTCGAATTTTTTGGGAGAATGAACTAAATACAATAAATATTTGCTCATATTGTTTTTAATAACAAAATGATCGGACTGAACAGTAGACTGGGGCGGGGACAGTTTGGGAGGAGGTGCCTCCCTTTCCCACCGCTATACGCCCGCCCACCCCCACGCCCCCTTCCCCCTCGTTGTACTGATTTGAAACCAATTACAAAATGGCCGCCAGTGACGGTGAGTGCTGTCGATCTCTACGATTTTACGGAAAAAGAGGGGACTGTGAACAGTCCAACTGAACAGGGTACGGTTTGTATTGGGATGGACAAAATGTGAAACAATCAATTCCTGATGGCTTCTTTTAACCCTTTCAGTGCCAAATGTGGCCAAAGGTAAGTTTCGACCAAATTTCCAAATTTCATTTTCCAAAATTGTGAGAAACAAATAGCATTATGTGAAAGTACAGGCAGAGAGCTTTCATTTGAATGGTCACATCATAGGATTTCGTCTACAGACTCAAAAGTTAGAGTCACCTTACAAAACTCCATCAAACACCCTGGCAGTGAAAGGGTTAAATACAGGGTAAACTCTCCTAACGGACACTCTCGAAGCGGACAGCTCTACTTACGACCACCTTCACAAAACCCCATTTTACTCAACTCCGAAACAAACTCAGTATTCTCACATTCTCGTAAGCGGCCAGCTCCAGTTACAGACACCTTTTTCGCGACCCGAGGGTATCCGCCGTCCCGGGGGTGTCTGCTTATGACAGCTTTCACTGCGACATTGCGTTCTAAAGAGTGTTTAATTCGAAATGATCGAGATTATTAATTTTCCCTTTTAAAATGTATTTACCATTGTTGATAGTATTAATTACGCTCGAATCGATTTCTTTCTTTTCATGATGTAAATGATTCTAAACCGTGTCTTCGGTCAAATTAATGATTCCGTTTTTTATTTGTTTGGTAGGAAAACGAACAATTTCGCATCCAAGAAGAAAGACGGAAAGCACGGGAGAAAAAACGGCAAGAGGAGGCCGAGCGAAACGCGAAGGCTGGCGGAAGCGTAAAGAAAGGAAAACCACGCCCCCTGGACGAAGAACAGGAAGGATGCATTGTTGATCGGCTTCTGAGTGATATTCGGAAGGGGTTCCCCCTGCGGAAGAGCTCAAGGAACACCCCTAGCGGGATCAAATCTGCTTCTCCCAGACCGAAGCGTAGTACCGAGGAAGTACGAGGTAATGCTAAGAAAGACGACCAGTTCCGAAGAATCTCGAGTCCAGCAAAGCTTCGCGCTAATTTAAACTCGGCCGGAGATGGGAACGAGATTGTGTTAAAGAGAAATCTTGACGGACCTTCTCTTCCTATTGTGTAGATTGTTAGTACATTAAACTGGTCTGTTCCTTTCTAATGATTTAAAAAAGGACATCTTTTGCAATGCTGTCAGCTGAAGGCAGGTGCATGCTCACATTGTGATCGTCTCTTACGTGCAAATCCTATGCGTGGTGATAATCATTAATGTTACATGAAGAAGAAAACTTCAAAGCGCGTTCTAATTTGCAATGCTAAAGTGAACGATTAAAATTGAGCAAACAATGACATACAACCTGACGGTCACTGCAAAAGTTGTTCTCTTGTATACTGACCGGGTAGATGTCTGTCTTAAGGAAAGGTGAACGTCTAATATTTGTATTACAGAAAAATGTAGAACAGAATTTGAGGCGGGATTTTTTAAGACGCTTTAGTATACATGAGCCCACTTGCAAAAGAAAACTGAAAAAAAAAAAAAAAGTTCTAATCGATCAGAAATTACTGATCATATACTTTCAGGGCTTGGTAGAATTTCCTTTCAGTTTTCACTCCAAAAGATATTGGCCACATCATGTTGCTTTAAATTCACACAAATAACGGGAAATAATTATTATAATAGTTTTATATCTGATTCAGTTCTAAGCGTGTTTGTATACCTCTGGCAATATTTGTCCGAGCCGCTAAGTCTGCCTGGGAGTGCGGCATTTGTCATCTTTTCAACATTGGAGATTTTAAGTGTTTTTCCGTAAAGTAAAATGGCTTTTGAACAGCTGAATGATTCAATATTATGTCGAATGTATCTTTACTTCTCAACCATGCCTCTTTACCAACACTTGAAGAGAGAACACACCATACAAGCTTCCGTCGGCAAAACGCATTCCAGAGTGTACGCAAGTAGCTCTTTTGAGTAGTCTGTTTTGAAAGGAAGACCTTGGAAAGCTTAACAATTGAATTGGAAGGGCTATAAATTGCGTAGATTTTCAGTTTGGAAATGAAGTGCTGCTGTTGATAAGAGGACGCCGGCCACACCCCGTTTGTACTGGGTGCCAGAAACTTTTCTTGCTCGTTTTCCGGATACAACCCGTCTAGTAGTGGGTCAAAAAACTTTCAGACATTCTCGCCTTGCACGGCTTAACGGTTTTTTTTATAACTCTTGGTTTGTCCCGGGGAAGGATCGTTTGCCCTTTTTAAAAACCTTTCGTGGCGTGTTTTTCTTTTCCTGTCTTATACAAATCTTCTGACTGGAGGTAATGGGCAAGCTTAGAATTGACTGAATCGTAAATATTTCGAAAAGAAATTGACAAGGTAATATTTACCTGAAATAAAACATTTCGTGCCGTTTTTATTACATAATGAATTTCAAGTCACAATCGACTTTAAAAGAATCAAATATTTTCAGCTTATATTACACCCTTCCATTTAACGAAGCTAAAAGGGTGGATGATATAATTGTCTCGTGTATTTTTAACGTGAGTAAACTAATGAAAGCAAATTCCTTATTTGGTTGCAGTAGGCTGCCTTTGTCTCGGCTCTTTGAGGGAAGTTATGTATTGTATGTTTATTTTCTTACATGAATATATTTTTGTAAGTCTGTATGTTACTAACATATGGAGGTAAATATTTTGTCCTTACCTCATATTTTTCAAAAAATAAAATTTAAGGCAGCGTTTAGTTTGAGAATACCTGCTTTATAGCGTTTTATATCGTTGTTGGGACGATGATCTTTGGCGAACGTGTCTAATGTTCAGACTGTTCCGGAGTTCACGAAGGAAAATTCTGGACTTATGTCTGAGTATTCTTCTTATTCTTTCTTGAAAATAATATTTTGTTGTGGGTTCGTTATAACTTATTATAACGCAAGGAATTAATGAACTATTTATAGAAACCTTATTTAAGGTATAAATTTCTCAGTTTTGTGCCAAAAACCTCCCATTGACCTTTTGGCCGGTAAAGGAAAAAATCATTGCGGTTAAATAGAAAAATTTGGCCAAAAAACGTGATGTATGGAATGGTTGATGGTCAAGCATACTTGAAAGGTCACTTAATGTATCGCCATGCAGGAAGAGTTATGGTGACTGTTCACATTTTGCTAATCCTTAACACTTTTTAATCGTGTTTTGTTCAAATCATTTACCTCTTTCAGTTCCTTATAATAAGTAATAAATGCAATTCTAGGTTCCACAATTTCATTCATTATATTAACATCACGTTTTCACTTGCTTGAGTTAATGTTGTCAGTTCCTTTGTTTCCTTGTAAGTACTAAAACAAGAGCTTATTATGCTAAGATATTTTGTTGAAAGGTTTGAATTGATAACGTTTCAAATTCATCCTTTTAATTGACGTTGTATTTACTCGCAGCTTATATATTTGTTTTTATTGTAAAGGCACTACGCAAATAACACATTCAATTATATTCACATTTGATGATTCGCCAAGCGTGAGCTATTAGCGTCCAGATTTGATTGTGAGGGGACATGTCTGAAATAACACATTTGCCTTCTCCGCAATAAACTATCATGCATCTTTTAATTAAAGAAGTTGAATAATTTCGTAAAAATGTCACATGATGATACTAGGACTTTATGTCATGGTTCAAATATGGAAGGTTTATGTTTTGCATTGAAATGCATGATCGATTAAGCGTGGTGTTTGTTTACGAAGATCAATCTTCTCTGTGTCTCCCTGCCGGTTTTAAAGCTCAATATCCATACTTTTAATAACGCCAGACGACTTGGAGAATGTTGAAAACGAGAAACACTAGGGGTAAACCCTTGGTTGTTTTTCAACTTGGAAACGAGGCTTTATACACGTGATCAGTTTCAAAGGTACACGTGAGAGTTTCGTGATGAGCATCTTAAGGGGTGGTTCTGCTTATGTTTGCTGAAGCATTTCCTGACATTTAAAAACTTGAGGGATCTTTCATCGAAGTGAACGTGAGGTTTAAAATCCGGTAAAGCTTTTGTAAATTCGCACGATGGCTGACAGAGTTTATGTTTTGTCTTTCAGATCAAAGTGTGTTTATCCTTCCAGAGGTCGGTGAGAACGCGGTATCAGGTCCCACAAATTTAGCCGATGTGTTCATAGAAGAAAAAGAGAAGAACGAAAGACAACTTGTTGATAAGGCAGACAATAGTGAAGCATCTCTTAATGCTGCGAAATATCACGTTGACAACCTTCCCGTGGAACGCACTGGACGTATAACGCGTGATCCAAGCCAATCGACGACGGATCGTAAGAAAGCAGATGTACTTTCTATCATACCGGAAGCTAACTCTGAGAAAGACAATTTAGCGAATCATGTAAGGGATGATAAGTATTATAACGAGGCAGGGAACGTGCGGAAATCTTCAAAAGACTTTCAAATTTGCGAAAAACGGACTCCTCCCGATTTTGATGAGGGAAACGTGGTGAATAAAAATGGTGAACTAGTGTTTTTGAATGGAGTAGATGATCACGAAGACCTTCGTTTTACGGGAAGAAATCTAACGGAAGATGTTAAGGAAAAACCTGAGCTTGTAACAGTTAAAGAGGGTTACAATATTTCATCGCCGAAACAAAAAGTTATGCTTGTTAATGAAAGTCGCGAAAAATCTGTGGGGTCTCATGAAAATTACATTACAGAACAACAAGGAACAGCTAGTGACAAAACGAACGAGGAGAGAGGTTCAGATAAATTTGCATCAGAAACAACAGTGAAAGAAAACGTATGCGCAAGAACTGTTGATTGCGCTTCTTCTGCGAGGTCTGTTAATTCAAGTAACAAATCACAAACTCCGTTAGAAATGGGAGATGTTTCTTTGGCTTTTGATCGATCTGAGACCAGAAAAGAAGACTTAAATTCTTTACGAGTCAGTTCAAGTGAAACTGGACCTGAAGAGAGCACTAAAATTGCGCCAAAAAGAACGCAAAAATTCGAAGGATACCCAGAAAACCCAAATAATGTGAATGATCTTGGAAACGTCGGCAAAACTGACAGTTCGAACCAATCAGAAAAGAGTAAAGCATTACGTGATATCGGACCAACTGAAAATGTCAGGAAAAGCGATAAAAATTCGCATGTCGCGCAAGACAGCCCCTGGATCACTCACCAACTTCATCCAGATGCAGAGAAACAAATTGAAGAAAAAGGAAATTATGAGCGAAAGAACAAACGCAAAAGAAGTGCGCCGGAAAATGAAAAACCAGAGCAAATTGTACCACGACTAATTATTGACCAAAGTAACGTTTCCGAGCGAAACGAAAATGAAAAACTTGAAAGAGACGAGGACGAGGAGGATAAACCACGGAAACGCAGAGCCAGCGAGCCTGGACCTCATTTTGAACCGCTGAGTCCGTTGATGGAAGCAGGAAATTCAAACAACGATTTCTTGAATACAACTGGTGCACAATCTGGTAAGGTTAAACGGAACAAATCATTTGTCTCGCGTGGTTTGTCTAAAATGTTCGGTGGAAAACGCAAGTATAAGGCGGAGAAAGACAGTCTGGCGGGTCCTGTTGACTTTGACAAGATCAGTACACATGAAGAATCTGATTTCAAAGTTAATCGTCGAGAAAAAAAGAAGAAGAAGAAAGATAAAGGTGACCAAAAGAACTTCAACGAAGGATTATCTCCCGAGAATATAGACAAAAGTCCATCTCGAAAATTTGGCGGACTGTTTTCACGCGGAAAAAAGAAAGAAAAAAGTTTCACTGGGCCTTAGAGGAAATAACCGCCCAAAGTGATGACAATCCTCTGCGTGAGTGCAGTGAAAGTACAACTATCATTTAGCCTCTTGTTCTTGTAGTTATTTTGAACTAAAGGTAATAGCTTCTTTAAGGTCCCCTTAGTTTTCCTCATAAACATTCTCGCGTCACTTAAGAAACGAATCAGAATTTTGACCAAAACTTAAGTTTTCACATCCTTTGCGACGTCTGCGAATAAAATCGCTATTTATTCAATACACGCGCCAAAGAATGAAGCTTTGAGTAATTTTCAACCCTTATAGAACGCCTTTAACCAAAGATCAGACGTATTTTCTAACTGCAATCGCCGTGCAGGTCTAGCCTTGCTGCATGAAATGAAATGTGTAGCCGACATAACGAGTCATCATTTTTAGCTTAGCCTGGGTTGTTTGTTTTCCTGATTCGGAGCATATTATCGTTACCCTACAGTTGCCTTGTATTTTCCCCTTTACACGTGTTTACGAATGCATATATTTCAAGGCGAAGGAAAGGCTACTTAGAGAGAACATCTTGTCGAGGGAGTCAGGTACACAAAAACTGCCCAAGCTACTGTAGCAATGTTATGAAACATTTTTTTTTTACGTAGCTATTTTTTTTTTGTAAGTCATTCAACTGATCACACTTAGCAAAATGTCCATACCTATTACTTGGTTGTTCGTTCTCGACCCACTACCTTGCATCAAACGTTGATATCATTACTCAGTAAATCGATGGCGTATCATTTTAGAGACATTTTGTGAAAGTAATTGCGGTAGAATATATAAAGAGAATTTTATTGGTGAACAATAATTTCTCGCGCTCTCATGCGACCAGATATGCGTTGGAAATATAACTTATGAGGGGGAGGCGGGGGGGGGGGGGGGGTTGCGGGGTTTCCCAGGCGGGTACCCTTGTTTCGGTTTTTTAAGCTTTTTTTACCATCCGTATGGGGATTTAATTACTAATTTGGCCTGCGTGGGATTAGGGGGTGGGGCCCTTTCGGGACGGTTTGTTGTGGACACACCATACAAGCTTCCGTCGGCAAAACGCATTCCAGAGTGTACGCAAGTAGCTCTTTTGAGTAGTCTGTTTTGAAAGGAAGACCTTGGAAAGCTTAACAATTGAATTGGAAGGGCTATAAATTGCGTAGATTTTCAGTTTGGAAATGAAGTGCTGCTGTTGATAAGAGGACGCCGGCCACACCCCGTTTGTACTGGGTGCCAGAAACTTTTCTTGCTCGTTTTCCGGATACAACCCGTCTAGTAGTGGGTCAAAAAACTTTCAGACATTCTCGCCTTGCACGGCTTAACGGTTTTTTTTATAACTCTTGGTTTGTCCCGGGGAAGGATCGTTTGCCCTTTTTAAAAACCTTTCGTGGCGTGTTTTTCTTTTCCTGTCTTATACAAATCTTCTGACTGGAGGTAATGGGCAAGCTTAGAATTGACTGAATCGTAAATATTTCGAAAAGAAATTGACAAGGTAATATTTACCTGAAATAAAACATTTCGTGCCGTTTTTATTACATAATGAATTTCAAGTCACAATCGACTTTAAAAGAATCAAATATTTTCAGCTTATATTACACCCTTCCATTTAACGAAGCTAAAAGGGTGGATGATATAATTGTCTCGTGTATTTTTAACGTGAGTAAACTAATGAAAGCAAATTCCTTATTTGGTTGCAGTAGGCTGCCTTTGTCTCGGCTCTTTGAGGGAAGTTATGTATTGTATGTTTATTTTCTTACATGAATATATTTTTGTAAGTCTGTATGTTACTAACATATGGAGGTAAATATTTTGTCCTTACCTCATATTTTTCAAAAAATAAAATTTAAGGCAGCGTTTAGTTTGAGAATACCTGCTTTATAGCGTTTTATATCGTTGTTGGGACGATGATCTTTGGCGAACGTGTCTAATGTTCAGACTGTTCCGGAGTTCACGAAGGAAAATTCTGGACTTATGTCTGAGTATTCTTCTTATTCTTTCTTGAAAATAATATTTTGTTGTGGGTTCGTTATAACTTATTATAACGCAAGGAATTAATGAACTATTTATAGAAACCTTATTTAAGGTATAAATTTCTCAGTTTTGTGCCAAAAACCTCCCATTGACCTTTTGGCCGGTAAAGGAAAAAATCATTGCGGTTAAATAGAAAAATTTGGCCAAAAAACGTGATGTATGGAATGGTTGATGGTCAAGCATACTTGAAAGGTCACTTAATGTATCGCCATGCAGGAAGAGTTATGGTGACTGTTCACATTTTGCTAATCCTTAACACTTTTTAATCATGTTTTGTTCAAATCATTTACCTCTTTCAGTTCCTTATAATAAGTAATAAATGCAATTCTAGGTTCCACAATTTCATTCATTATATTAACATCACGTTTTCACTTGCTTGGGTTAATGTTGTCAGTTCCTTTGTTTCCTTGTAAGTACTAACACAAGAGCTTATTATGCTAAGATATTTTGTTGAAAGGTTTGAATTGATAACGTTTCAAATTCATCCTTTTAATTGACGTTGTATTTACTCGCGGCTTATATATTTGTTTTTATTGTAAAGGCACTACGCAAATAACACATTCAATTATATTCACATTTGATGATTCGCCAAGCGTGAGCTATTAGCGTCCAGATTTGATTGTGAGGGGACATGTCTGAAATAACACATTTGCCTTCTCCGCAATAAACTATCATGCATCTTTTAATTAAAGAAGTTGAATAATTTCGTAAAAATGTCACATGATGATACTAGGACTTTATGTCATGGTTCAAATATGGAAGGTTTATGTTTTGCATTGAAATGCATGATCGATTAAGCGTGGTGTTTGTTTACGAAGATCAATCTTCTCTGTGTCTCCCTGCCGGTTTTAAAGCTCAATATCCATACTTTTAATAACGCCAGACGACTTGGAGAATGTTGAAAACGAGAAACACTAGGGGTAAACCCTTGGTTGTTTTTCAACTTGGAAACGAGGCTTTATACACGTGATCAGTTTCAAAGGTACACGTGAGAGTTTCGTGATGAGCATCTTAAGGGGTGGTTCTGCTTATGTTTGCTGAAGCATTTCCTGACATTTAAAAACTTGAGGGATCTTTCATCGAAGTGAACGTGAGGTTTAAAATCCGGTAAAGCTTTTGTAAATTCGCACGATGGCTGACAGAGTTTATGTTTTGTCTTTCAGATCAAAGTGTGTTTATCCTTCCAGAGGTCGGTGAGAACGCGGTATCAGGTCCCACAAATTTAGCCGATGTGTTCATAGAAGAAAAAGAGAAGAACGAAAGACAACTTGTTGATAAGGCAGACAATAGTGAAGCATCTCTTAATGCTGCGAAATATCACGTTGACAACCTTCCCGTGGAACGCACTGGACGTATAACGCGTGATCCAAGCCAATCGACGACGGATCGTAAGAAAGCAGATGTACTTTCTATCATACCGGAAGCTAACTCTGAGAAAGACAATTTAGCGAATCATGTAAGGGATGATAAGTATTATAACGAGGCAGGGAACGTGCGGAAATCTTCAAAAGACTTTCAAATTTGCGAAAAACGGACTCCTCCCGATTTTGATGAGGGAAACGTGGTGAATAAAAATGGTGAACTAGTGTTTTTGAATGGAGTAGATGATCACGAAGACCTTCGTTTTACGGGAAGAAATCTAACGGAAGATGTTAAGGAAAAACCTGAGCTTGTAACAGTTAAAGAGGGTTACAATATTTCATCGCCGAAACAAAAAGTTATGCTTGTTAATGAAAGTCGCGAAAAATCTGTGGGGTCTCATGAAAATTACATTACAGAACAACAAGGAACAGCTAGTGACAAAACGAACGAGGAGAGAGGTTCAGATAAATTTGCATCAGAAACAACAGTGAAAGAAAACGTATGCGCAAGAACTGTTGATTGCGCTTCTTCTGCGAGGTCTGTTAATTCAAGTAACAAATCACAAACTCCGTTAGAAATGGGAGATGTTTCTTTGGCTTTTGATCGATCTGAGACCAGAAAAGAAGACTTAAATTCTTTACGAGTCAGTTCAAGTGAAACTGGACCTGAAGAGAGCACTAAAATTGCGCCAAAAAGAACGCAAAAATTCGAAGGATACCCAGAAAACCCAAATAATGTGAATGATCTTGGAAACGTCGGCAAAACTGACAGTTCGAACCAATCAGAAAAGAGTAAAGCATTACGTGATATCGGACCAACTGAAAATGTCAGGGAAAGCGATAAAAATTCGCATGTCGCGCAAGACAGCCCCTGGATCACTCACCAACTTCATCCAGATGCAGAGAAACAAATTGAAGAAAAAGGAAATTATGAGCGAAAGAACAAACGCAAAAGAAGTGCGCCGGAAAATGAAAAACCAGAGCAAATTGTACCACGACTAATTATTGACCAAAGTAACGTTTCCGAGCGAAACGAAAATGAAAAACTTGAAAGAGACGAGGACGAGGAGGATAAACCACGGAAACGCAGAGCCAGCGAGCCTGGACTTCAGTTTGAACCGCTGAGTCCGTTGATGGACGCAGAAAATTCAAACAACGATTTCTTGAATACAACTGGCGCACAATCTGGTAAGGTTAAACGGAACAAATCATTTGTCTCGCGTGGTTTGTCTAAAATGTTCGGTGGAAAACGCAAGTATAAGGCGGAGAAAGACTGTCTGGCGGGTCCTGTTGACTTTGATAAGATCAGTACACATGAAGAATCTGATTTCAAAGTTAATCGTCGAGAAAAAAAGAAGAAGAAGAAAGATAAAGGTGACCAAAAGAACGTCAACGAAGGATTATCTCCCGAGAATATAGACAAAAGTCCATCTCGAAAATTTGGCGGACTGTTTTCACGTGGAAAAAAGAAAGAAAAAAGTTTCACTGGACCTTAGAGGAAATAACCGCCCAAACTAATGACAATCCTCTGCGTGAGTGCAGTGAAAGTACAACTATCATTTAGACTCTCGTTCCTGTAGTTATTTTGAACTAAAGCTTCTTCAAGGTCCCCTTAGTTTTCCTCATAAACATTCTCGCGTCACTTAAGAAACGCATCAGAATTTTGACCGAAACTTATGTTTTCACATCCTTTGCGACGTCTGCGAATAAAATCGCTATTAGGGACTTTAAGATCCAACGACGCGGACGACAACGAGAACATCAAAAAAAACAATAGGTTTAATTAGCAAAACAACAACTTCGCACGTGCATCACACTTTTTTCTTCATTTCTTTCCCGTTTTTGCACGACTACGACGTGCAAATGCCTAATTTCGCGTTTTATGGAGGACGTAAACAAGCAACGACAAAATTTTATTTGTCTTTCTGAGCTTGAATATGGTCCCTTGAAATTCAGCTTCAGGAGGGTTCGCCTACAATTGACAAAGTAAGTGAGTAGGAATAATTACTATAAAGACTGAAAGGACGCAAATTCACTTTTTAAGCGCATTCTTGTCGCCGTCGCGTCGTTGGATCTTAAAGTCCCTATTTATTCAATACACGCGCCAAAGAATGAAGCTTTGAGTAATTTTCAGCCCTTATAGAAGGCCTTAAATTAACCAAAGATCAGACATATTTTCTAATTGCAATCGCCGTGCAGGTCTAGCCTTGCTGCATGAAATGAAATGTGTAGCCGACATAATGAGACAGCATTTTTAGCTTAGCCTGGGTTGTTTGTTTTCCTGATTTGGAGCATATTATCGTTACCCTAAACAACTGTTGCCTTGTATTTTCCCCTTTACACCGTCACGTGTTTACGAATGCATATATTTCAAGGCGAAGGAAAGGTTACTTAGAGAGAACATCATGTCGAGGGGGTCAGGTACACAAAAACTGCCCAAGCTACTGTAGCAATGTTATGAAACATTTTTTTTTATAGCTATTTTTTTTTGTAAGTCATTCAACTGTTCACACTTAGCAAAATGTCCATACCTATTACTTGGTTGTTCGTTCTCGACCCACTACCTTGCATCAAACGTACGCGTTGATATCATTACTCAGTAAATCGATGGCGTACTCAAGTAGATTAAGGCCTGGTTCCACGTAATTTGGGATTTTTATGCAGATTTTCCAAAAACTATTGTTAAAGACATCCTCCAGGAATAACAGATGGTAAAGGAAACTAACCTTAAAAAAACTTGAAAAAAATCCAAATTAACTCGTCACGTGATCGACCACGCCCTCCTCTGTTCGAAAATTGCAATTAACGATGCCCACCACTTCCTAAACGTGTAACCCCAGTTTCTCTGTATCAAAACTTTGACCCTACAAAGTGTCTGCGAAATCAGCCTGGAATGGTTGGAATCTTTATAATTTGTAGGTGCAATTGGTGTTCATTGACTAGTGCCAGTCCTCCTCTTACTAAAATTTTCGTTAGGAGAAAGACGTTAAATGACTTTGTCTCATTCCACACGTTTTTACAAGAAGACTATCAGTAGCCACTATTTGGATCGACAAAAGGAAAACTATTTGCTTTCTACATAGTGGGCATTTGGACCCAAAGGA